TATTAAAGATAACCCAATTACCAAAGCAAATCTGCTATTAAGAAAGAAGCCCATACTGCAGTTAATAATTTAAAGCCTATCACCACATTCAAAGGAAGAGCTCCCTGCAGTTGTATCAGCATGGCAGTCACAGACAACTGTTCATTCTGATATCGACGTAAGAACTTCTGAAAAATAACTCTGTCTTCTTTGCAGGCAGGAGAGCGGAGGGCAGGAAATATACTGGGCTTGTCAAGGCTGCTTCATACTGCTTGATGCAAACTGCCTACAGACTGTTCATAAAATAAAGTAATAATAATAACCCAAACTAGAGACAAATTGGGTCAAACTGCAAAACCCGTCAAAAACTGTTATCCAAGTGGTTGAACAAGAGGCCAAATGTTATTCATTTTTTGATTATTATAATCTAGAAAAATATATGTAAAAAACCACTACCATTTGAACACCAAAGATCATCTGAACACTTACAAATCAATTAAACTCAGTCCATCAAAACAGTTAAGTCTGGAGGTGGGGGTGCAGATCAGGTTAGGGTACCTGCTTATTAGCATGAATAAAGCCCCAAATTTGATCTCCAACCCACAAAACAACAAAAATAAAAAATTGTACCTTCTCTGGTAGACTGATGTTTTGCCATAAGTCTGTTTCATGCCTACACCCAATGTTCTTTTGTCCCTCATATTAAATGGGTATAGGAAGGTCTGATGGGTCTATCATAGGAAGACTTCTTGGGCTACATCAATCCTGTAACAGACCCTATCTTTGAAACACTGTGACCTTGTTCTAGTTTTAAAAATAAATAAATAAACCCTCATATATATTCTGTCTTATGTTTAACATACAAAATACATATTTTTGGAAGGAATAACATCAGAGATAGTCTGCCTCCAACCACCACCCATGATGTAAAATTGGAAATAGATTTATTAGAAGAGACACCAATAAAAGTCAGTCTTAGACACAGTGGAAATGATCATTTAGCTCCAGGCTCCCAGCGGTGCAGAAGTGTGTATAAACGTACTCAGTGTCCTTGGAACCTAGATATCCAGCCCCACTGAGAATCCACTCTGACAAGCCATCAGGTCTCCAGAGAAACAGACAACCTTCCTCTTAAAACACTTCCCTTTCCAGTCTCCAGATAGAGAAGGTAACACCAGGTAGAGATCACAGTCATCAAATACCTTCCAAAACCAGATCAGACAACTTACATTTAAATTTATATCCCAGTTTGTTTATATTCTGTTTCTGAAAATTTCAGGGTTTGGATTGTTGGAGAGTGTCATTCCACTGATTACTTGTTTGTGCTGATTTATTCAAGGTATTCCTACATGCAGTATGATTTTTTTACTCCCCTCACTTTAGACATTTTTTTTTTTTTTTTTTTTTTTTTTTGAGACAGAGTCTAGCTATGTTGTTCAGGCTGGCCTTGAACTCACTATGAAGACCAGACCTTAAACTCAAGGCGATCCTCCTACCTCGGCCTCCTAAGTGCTAAGACTGCAGGTGTGTGTCACCACGCCTGGCCTCACTGGAATTTTTGAAGCTTGTGTTGGGAAAAACCTTTCTCCAGCTAGGATTGGTATTTACTTGGACAAGTTACCAGGGACCCTACCCACCTAGGAAAATGTTAATTCACAGCATGTAGTCTGTTCAGGCACAAAGGTAGCATGCATTTAGGCTCTAAATTGGCAAAATGACTGGTCACATATTCTAGGAGGAAACTTTCTTCCTCTAACCCAAACTAGGATGAGGTAGTTAAATTGTTGTAGAAAAAATGAAATCAACAATAGCCAGGAGCTCAGAAGAAAGGAAATTTTACTGAGGAGAGAAGTACTCTCCAAAGTCTGAGGTGCTGACCACAGAGAGCTTGTCTTATTTAAAAGGTGGCAAACAGAAGTTACAAGAATGAGCGAAACTTTGCTGACGGCTATGGTACAATGAGCATCTCCTGGTGAGCGACTGTACGTAGTTTTTTAGCACATTCACGAACTTTTTGATTCAAGGACAAATCATGACTTACCTGACTCCAGAGGCAGAGAACAGAATGGCTTCAACTTTACTGAACAAAATGGCCACAGATGGGTCAGGATTTCTGCTTCAGTCTCTCTGAAAAATTACTTTTTTTAATTCACCCTTTCCCTGAGGTTAAGATCCTCTTAAGTTCTTGGTTTTAGGAAGTCTCCACTCTTAATTTTTTCACGAGTTCAAAGTTTGACTTCTGGTCCTGTGTCACCTTGAGACCCCCACTCTAAGCCTCCCGAGATTGGCCATGCTCCCAACAGGACTAAGGCCTTCAGCATCTGCTCCCTCTCCCCTCCCCTACATGGTTATTTTGTTCGGGCCTCAGAGGGTTTCCTTCTACAAGCTCAAAAATCTTTTAAAGCTGCTCTTAACATTCCTAGAAGCTTCATGTCAGTGTTTCCTGAAAGTCAGTCACACTGGCAGAAACAGAGGTTTAAAAACGCTGCATTTCTGGGTGTCTCACAAATCCAGGACTTCAGTTACCCTCACCCTACCCAGCTAGCATCGAATTTCTCTTCAGAAATTTTCTCTAAGGTCACTGCCTCCCATCCACATATTTTATAAGACCAAAAGATGTACACAGATTCCTTCCTTGCTTTGTTTCATATTCCAGTATAACTTATTAATTCTAAATTCAAAATATTTCTTGAATTTTCTCTTTCCTTCATTCTGATTCCTACAGCTTTCTGAATTTATCATTTATTTTAGGGACCCTTGAAATAATCTCTATTTTCATTCTTTCCTTCCTTAAATCCATGCTTTATGCAGCTGCTATACCATACCCTATTTAAAAGACAACTCTTTAAAAAAAATAAAAAATAGAAGACAACTCTAGCCATGTTATTTGCATAATTAAGTCTTGAGCAACTCCTCTGTTGTTATCAAGATAGTCTCAATTGTCTGCCTGACCACGTAAGGTCCTCCACAGCCAGCCCTTCCCTCTGCTGCAGACAACAAACTGCGCGCAGGCTTCTGCTCGACCAGCCACCTCTCGGCCACCTTCATACCTCACTGGCCGGCGCTCAGCCACCATCGGCTCCTAATCTTTCCGAACCCAGGTCAAAATCTTCTCTTCCAGAAGACAAGGCCAGTTCTCACTGCACCTTGGTTTTAGCACTGAACTACGAGCTTGCCTGTACTTTGTAATCCCAGCTCTCAGGAGGCTGTGGCAGAACTGCCTGAGCCACACAGTGAGTTCAGAGCCAGGTTACACCACACGGCAAGACTATCTCCAGAAACACAAACCAAACCCAAAATCCTGCGGGTTAGTTCCTACTGTTTTATCATCTGTTGTCTCCAAGTGACTCACAACAATCCTCCTGCCTCAGCCTCCCGTGTGCTGCGATTACAGAGGTGAGCCATCAGGCCCAGCTGTAAATGTCATTTTTAAAAAACATAAACACTAAAGCACAATTCTGACCATGCTGTGCTTGTCCTTAGAAACTGCTCTGCCTCTAGCGCTTGTATCACTGTCCCTGCTGCACCAGCAGCTCCCAGAAACCCACCAAATTCCTAGAGAGCTCATCCCCGTCTGTATCCCCAAGCCACTGGGCCCTGGAGCAGGCAGTGAACCGCTGGCCTGCCCTCAGGCTTCTTCTTTACATCTAATGCTCATTAGCACTAGCAGTCTTCCAGAGCCACGCTAGGACCTGACTGCTCAGGGCCACAGGATTCCCACGGGACCCAGCCGCTGCCTCCCACTCTGATCTTACAGCCTCCGCTTCTCATGGCATCACACAGCAGGAATCTGCTACACAGAGGATCAAGGTGACACAAATGGCCCTAAGGCCTGGGGAGGGGCCTTCTTAACCGTCAATGGGAATCAAAGCATTAAAAGTCAGTTTTCTCATCACCACCAAGGGACAAGAATTCTTTTTATTTTTTCCAATTTTTTTTTTTCTTTTTTCTTTTTCTCGGTACCGGGGATCGAACTCACAACTGCCTGCTTGCAAGGCAGGTGCTTATGCCGCTGAGCTAAATCCCCAGACCTGGGACAATAATTCTAAACAATGCCAGAAATAAGGCGCCCTCCTACCGCTCTTCCCCAGTGGGGAAGACACTGCTGCTCAGTGGTGGCTTCCCTTAAAACCTAGTGTCCATCCACACACACAGTTATTCCTTCCCCGGCCCTGAGTCTCCTCCAAGACGGCAGGCATGGGGAGGGGAGCTCACCGCCAACCCCACGTGCAGACGCTCAGGACCCTCCGGACCCGGTGGCTCCCGCAGTCGGCCTCAACGGTCCAGGAGGGCCCGCGGTGAGGGAAACACGCTACGTCTCGGTGCTCTCTGTGGCTAGGACAGTCAAGCCTCAGGCTCAATTCCTAGCCCACACTAAATGCTTCCAGAACAGAGTTTCAAGGCCGCCATTCACAGAACACCAGGACCTGGACACCAGTCTCTCTCTTCCTACTACTGAATCTTTATACAGTGCCACTTCCCTGAATTACTTACATACGTATTGCTTCTATTACATGTAAGTCTACTTCATATTACAACGCCCTGTACCTGATTTACTTAAGTGCAAAGTCCTGGAAAGAAATTTAAATGCTCAGTTCTGTTTTAGAGACAGGAATGTAACACATTCAGTGAGTAAAACTAGGCCCATGCTTTAGTAATCCTGCAGTCTAGCGCCTACAGTCCCAGCTACTTGTGAGGATGAAGCACAACTGCTTGAGCCTCAGTGGCACACAGTGCCTGCCTGGCAAGCATGAGGTCCTGAGTTCGATTTCTGGGACACCCTCACCAAAAAAATAACTGCTTAAGCCTAAGTGTTCACAACAATCCTGGGGCAACACAGTAAGATCTTATCAAAAACAAAAAACAGACTGGGCGAGGTGATGCAAACCTGTAATGCCAGCAAAGGGAGGCTGAGGCAGGAGGATTTCTACAAGTTCAAGGTCAGCCTGAACTAAACAGAGAGACCCCGTCTCAACAACAAAAACCCAAAACAATAACAAAAACTAGGGACAGTTGAAACCTAAGAGTAGAATACATTTTTATTATACAACATTTTATTTTTAAAAAGTTTCTTTAAACAGGATACATTTTCTCATTGGCAATTCCCAAATGGGAAAGTAATTTATTACTTACAGTTTTATATTTGTGGACAGATTATTTTAGAACAAGCAGAATACATTTGAGAATTACTTATGTTGGGAATTGGTAATTTTCTGATCCATCTGCAAGAAAATTTCTTCCCTAAGTGGGTCTCTAAAATCAGAAACTCTCTAAGCTTTCCTTCCTAGGATTCAGAAATCTGTAATATGAGATATCAGTTTCCCCAATTTCAAAGTTTCTCTAGGACACAAAATAATCACCATCAGCTGGTACCAAATGAACAATCAAGGACATTTCCAAAAATTAAAGTCTTATTTTCTGCAAACTATTAACTCATAAATTAACAGTCTTTCCCTTTGTCTATTATTCCCAGGAGAAATACAAAAGTATGATCATGTATTGACAGTTAATAAAGCTGAATTCTCCTTAATAAAAAGACTGATAAATTAAAAGGCAAAAGCTCATATGCAATGTTCAGTTATACTTTTTGTGAGCTGGGAGACAACTCCATTGACTCACCAAAACACAGAACTCAGTCTCCCTATTTCTTGGATGCAATTCCGCTCAAACCGTTTCCTCAAAGTTAAATTGTAAAAATGACCACCTGATAAGGACCGATGGACTCATCTGTTAACTTTTTGCTTACTGTGCGATGAATGGCATGAGCAGAGGCAAAGAGGCATACAATCAACTCCTAAGGTCTTAAGTCCAAAAGATTAGAGCTTCCAGAGCATGGCAACGGCTCTGCATATGCCCACGTCATGGTAGTTGAAATAACAGAGCCCAGCAAAGGTTAAAGCCGAGAGGGCCAGAAGACCTGCCTTGGCAGCTTTCTGAGGTGCAGCTCCATGAATGTAGTCAGTAACCACTTGTCCAAGACCCCTAGAGGAAAGAAAGAATCACAGCACAAATTAAAAACTGTAAGGGAACTTAGAAAACTATATAGGTCATTTGGCTGCGAAAAGGGATGGAACCAAAATGCAGTGTCTCTGTACTGTTTGCTTTTTTAGGGGATTCTGTGCAGCCATTTTGGTAAATAGTGATTTCTTTTCCTTCCTTTTTTTTTTTTAGACAATAAACCAAAGCAACTCACAATCATAAAATCTAAACCAAAATCAAGGAATCAAGAATCTCCTAACATATAATAAGGAAACTTTACACTTTAGAATCAATTTCCCAGAGTGAGAGACAGTAGCCAAATGCTCCTCTTTTTTGCACTAAATGTTTATAGTCTCATTCTTAATTCATAGAAATGCTCTTCAGAGTTTTTCATTAAAGAAAGAATTTATGAAGCAGATATTAAGCACAGAACATGTAAGAAATATCTAACATCCAATAAATAAGTTGGGTTCTCTACTTTTATGGAGCCCAATTTAGTTTCTGGTCCCTGTGTCACTTTCCCAAGAAAGGAGGAAAGGAGGGGGAGGAGGAAGAAAAGGATTTATTTGCCTTTAAACTGTACAATTCAGTGGTTTTTTCAGTATAGTTACAGAGTTGTAAATTATCATCGTTTTATTCCAGAACATCTTTGCCATCTTAAAAAAAAAGAAATAACACTCTACCAATTAGCCCCTTACCAAACTAGGAATTTATTTTTGTCTTTACAGATTTGCCCTCTGTGTACACACATGCGCACATGTGTGTGTTACTTAGGGATGCCCAGGGCCTCTGCACTGAGCTACATCCTCGGTCCAGGCTTTTTTTTTTGGAAACAAGGTCTTACTACATTGCTAATTTCTCCAGCTTGGTTCAGTTTTACAATCCTCCTGCCCTTCAGAGTGCTGGACTTACAGGTATGCACCAACATGCCAGGCAACTCTGGACATGTCATATAAATTAAATCCTGTAATATGTGATTGATATGTGAAGCTCCTTTCATTTAACATGTTTTCAATGTTCATCCATACTGTAGCAGATATTAGTACCTCACATTTCTGTATGACTAATACTCCATTGCATAATGTGTGATATTTTGCTTAGGTATTTATCAATTGATGAACATTTAAAATATGCAACTAATCTGCTACAATTATTCTTGTGCAAGTTTTTTGTGTGGACACATTTACTTTCAATTATCTTGGGCATACACCTGAAAGTGCAACTGCTGAGTCATATGGCAAGTTTTGTTGTAACTGCCAAAGCATTTTGCAAAACAGCTGCAACATTTTAGGGTCCTGGTAGAATATATGAGGTTTCAGCCTTGTCCTTTGCTTGTCTTTTTCACTTCCACCCTCCTAAGCAGACAAGAGGTGGAATCTCATCGTGAGTTTTTGATTTGCATTTCTCTAATGACAAATGATATACAACTATTAATGTGTATCCCAATCATTTGTATGTCATCTTTGGAGAAACGTAGTTTTTTAAAAAGGTCACTTTGGTTATAGTGTATCAAAAGGATAGCAGGAAAAGAGGACAAAAACACAAGCATAAAACAAGTAGCAGGCAAGTTGTCTAGGCAAGGATACTGGTTTAACCTAGACTATGACCAACGATATGCAGGTAAGTTAGGAGATCTCCTACTGGAATCAAAGATGATGACGGGTTTGGGCTTTAAAGTGCCATTAATTCAGATGTGCAAGAATACAGCAGGAACCGAAGGGGGCGGGGGGAGAGAAAAGGATACAGGAGGAATAGATTGGGGGGAAGTTCAGAACTCTGTTTTATATTTAGCTATATTCAAAATGCCTATTAGATATGGAAATCACATACACCTGGGTACACAGCTGATTATACTTAGATTTTCCCTAGTGTGTATTTGGTCTTTTTGAGACAGGGTTTTGCTACACAGTGCGGGCTGGTCTCAAACTCACAGCGACCTCCACCTCCCGAGTGCTGAGATTAAAGGCGTGCACTGCTACGCCTGGCCCTTTCCACAGATTTCCAATACCTCATTCAACTTCTCCCTCATACACAATACATAAGACAAGCTCACAGGCAACATGACATTGAAGGGACCGTGGTACTTGCCAGTGACCATGGAGAGTGAGGGCTGCAGCCAAGGAGTAGTCCACTGCAGAGCAAGGGTTCAAATATGCAGCGGGAAGCAGGCCGAGAAGCAAAACACTGACCACTCTCTCACTGGTCCAGTGGAGAGACGCAGCCTTGGAACCAGCTACAAGAAAGAACAAATTCATAAGAGTTGAGACAAGATGTACACATCTCTCACATCCAACACTTACCACGTGACAGAAAGGTAAATAATAGAGGTAAGGGTTAACTCTACGTCCTTTCTTTGAGGTCTTTTAGTGCAAAGATGTCTCAATACCTGCACATACTATAAGAAAACAGATCCACTGTACTTCTAGGCAAGAAGGTAGATGAAATCTTTGTGAAATTAAGCCAACCTCGGACTTCTGTGAAATACAGATCCCTTAAAAATGCTGCCAGGGAAGCCTGATGAATCCCTTTAAACAGCACTTGTTTACTGACATTTTTGTTTGTTTGTTTTTTGAGACAGGCTCACTATGTAGTCCAGGCTGGCCTCAAATTCACAGTACTCACCTGACTCAGGTTCCCAAATGCCAGGATCACAGGCATGTGACACCACACCTGGCTTTATTGACGCCTTTTAATCTTTGAAAGTAATTAATATTATCCACTCAAAACAAAATTAATCCAACAACTCAAAAAGAAGCAAAGGTCTGAGGTCAGTTTTTGCAGCTTGAGATTTACAAATTGGTAGGGGATATGGAAAAAAAAAATAGAAATTTTCACAGTTTAATGAAAATATTTGGAACTTCTATTACATTATTTACAAATTTACCCAAAACAAGTTAAGACACACAAAAAAAATGTAAACAAAAAACTACATGGGTTTTAAATATTTCTTTGAGAAGCTATCTTTTTTGGGTTACACACCCCATTGGAAATCTAACAAAAAAAAAAAGGAGTTTCTTCCCAGGAAGTATCACATAGGCACATATGTGAAAATGCACGTATACAATTTCAGGACATTTCCTTCAATAGCTTCTCCAGAACCACTCTGCTAACTCTAACTTGAACTAAGCAAAATAATTTAAAAACCTTTCCCAATTCAGAAATAGTCTTAGCAAAACCAAAACTAAACAAAAAACAAAAACAAACTAATCTTTCCTAACTCAGAAATAACTCTTAAGTGGTTGACTTAAGAATCAAGAGAAGTATTGAGTATTGTCCTCTTCAGATTTTAAAAATGGAAATTTGAATAGCAGCTAAATAACATTCATTTAGGAAATGTCATATGATTTAAAGTCAAACAAAAAATAAGCAACACATATGATGCAACCCACAAGGTCTGAGTTTTCAAACTATCTCAGTGATTCACACCTGGCTCCCTTCCATTACCTAACTAAACACAGTGACTCCGCTGTACTGAGGGAGCAATTTTACAGAGCTATTTTAAGAAAAATTTTTAAAAATTTTAAACACTTAGGTCAGAAGATTCGCTACGAATATAAACGGCACCATTCAACAATGCTTCTCCCAGCTGAAACTAGGTCTTCATTTGCCAGAGGTAAACACAAGAGTCTGGCCAAATCCGAGTCCAAAAAGGAACAGACATCGCATCCCGCCAAAGCCATGATAAGCAGTTCAGCTAAAAATGAGCAGCAGCCAGAGAGCAGAGGGCAGGAGAGCACATACAGAGCCGGCGCGGGGACAGGTGAAGGTGCTGCACTCCACACCAGCCCGGGGAAAGTCGGTCTTGGAGAAGCGCTGGGACAGGAGCAGGCTTGACCACCGGAGTTCGAAGGAACAGACCTGAGGGAAGAAACATGGAAGCGATCACACGCACTCTTCTTTACGGGACTGACAGACGTTCTCAGCCTTAAATAGGTGAAATCTCATCTGTAACAGGAAGACAGTATCAGTTCACTGAGTTACCATGAAGTAGGACTAAGCAGCCCTCAAAAGACTGAAGAATCATTGAATCACTTATGTAAAAGGGTCTTGCTTTGATTTTTTAAATAAATGTAACTCCTTTCGCCTTCCATTTACCCAGTATTCACCAAGTGTGACAGTGCTTGGCACTGGAACAAGGCAGAGCGCGAAGACTGTGCCCTCACGGAATCTGTCCAGTCTGAAAGTTCACCCACTGCCCTCCTCTCTTCCGAGACCCTGCGCCCACTTACACACACCCCTCCCACAGGATTGGGAACTGAACCCGGGCAGCACTGAGCTACGCCCCCAGGAGTTACTTTTTATTTTGAGACAGGGTCTCACTAAGTTGCCCAGTGTGGCCTCAAATTTGTAATTCTGCTGCCACCTCCGGAATAGCTGGGATTACAGCTGTGTGCTCCACTTGTACCTGTTCTGTCCCATTTTGGCTCCTGCCTCTTGGTTAAAAAACAGACAGAGCAAGCTGGACGTGGTGGCTCATACCTGTAATCCCAGCACTCGGGAGGCTGAGGCAGGAGGATCGTTGCAAGTTCGAGACCAGCCTGGGCTACAAAGTGAGCTCAAGGGCAGCCTGGACTGCATAGTGAGACCCTGTCTCAAAAAAGACCAAAAAAAAAGAAAAAAAACCAGACAGAGCTTACTTCACCCACTTATAAGTTTGCCCACTAAGTTTATACACTTACTAGGTGTGAGACAAGCAACTAAGTTAAATGAGCTCTGTCTCAATTTCTTCATCTGATTAAGGGAAGTAACTGCATTTATTGCACAATTCTCTATATAAAACAACTAAATAATGCACGCAGACATTTAGTACACAAAGAAGGTAATTTCTTATTTTCTTTCTTTAAATTCTTCCTTCCCTTTGACCATTTCCCCTCAGCTGATGTAATAAATATACTTATCTTTCTCTTGACCCCATATCCTCTAAGTAATGACCCCGCACTCTCCCCTGCTTTTTTCCTTCTCTTTCCAGTCTTGTTTCTATAAAGTACTATCTAAAGTGCTTCCTTACTTCTCACGCTTTAACTCTGAAACATTTTTAAACTCCTTTAGCTGCTCTAGTAGACGCCAACAATCTCCACATAGCCATGGTCAGTATTTACTGTTCAATTATACCCTTACTGGGCCTTTTCTCGACTTCAGAATTCTATTTTGTTGTTATTGTTTTAGTTTTGGTTTTTTAAGATGGGGTTTTACTATGTAGTTCAGGCTGGGCTACCCAGCCCAGGCTGGCCTTGAACTTAAGACTTCTGGTGCCTCGGCTTCCGGAGTGATGGAATTGCTGATTGTGCTGCCACGCCCAGCTGGAACTGTGTGGTTCTCAGGATTCCCTGACCATACCACATCAGTACCGCCCGCATTCAGGCTGTTTCCCCCAGGATTCTTTATCTGCCCATTGTTCTCCTCAGATCCTATACCCAACCAAAGCCTTTCATTCACTCATGGTTTCATTTATTGCCTCTAAGCTGATGATACCCACATCTCTGACTCCTCTGTGATCTCTCTCCAGTTTCAGTTTAATTCCTGCTGGGCTCCTCCACGGAGATACTTCCATGCTCCTCAAAATCAACATACCAAATACTGAAATCCTTCAACTCATTTTCTCATCCAAACTTTTATTCCTATTTTATGTTCCTCACTTAAATGATACTTTAAGCACTCTTTAAACTGCCCTAGAAATCTGGAAGTAATACAGGATCTTCCCTCTAAATTAAATCACCAAATCTGACTGACACAGGTTACTAATATTTCCTGGGGCAATCTTCTTTTTCTTTTCCAAGCTCAGGACTTTACAATGCCTGGACCACTCCAATGGTGTCAAATCTCCCCGACTTGAAACGGGGCCAGCTGTCTTCTTGCACTGCCACCAACTACACTGTTGGCACAATGGCAAATTGAAACTGAAGATCTGTCAAGTTTTTTCAATGCTACCCTCCAAGATCACTTCAGCCCAGGAGTTGCAGGCTAGCCTGGGCAACACAGGAAGATCCTGTCTCGGGAATTAAAAATAAAACCAAACACAAAGCAGTGGCTGCACTTCAAAACGAAGTAAGTGTACAATGTCTTACCAAGATAACCTCTTTTGTAGGCTGACACAATGACACTGGCCTACAGTTACTTGGGAGGCTGAGGCAGGAGGATCACAAGTTCAAGACTAGTCTAGCAGGACCTTGTTTCAAGCTGAGTATGGTGGCACATGCTTGTAATCTGAGCACTTGGCAAGCTGAAGCAGGAGAATCACAAGTTTGAGGTCAGCGTGGGCTACACAGTGAGTTCAAGGCCAGCCTAAACTATACAGCTACACCCTATCTCAAGATGACAATTTTTAAAAAGAAACTCAGGAGTTGAGTTCATGTGCAAGGTCTTACATTCAATCCCAGTACAAAACAAAACTAAACAAGAATCTCTAATTTAATTCCACTTCACCTTTCTAAACTCATTTCTCCCCTTGATCTTCACACTCACCAACTATGTTCACTGTGCTTTCTCTCGTACCATGCAGCTTCTATGCCATCATCATTGCTTCTGGTCAGCTCAGTAACTCTAACCATACTGTGCTTTCCTTGGCTTTCTTTATCCTTCAGTCAGGTACATGTCTTAAAGAACCAGAATAGGTGGTGGGCATGGTAGTGCATGGCTGTAATTCTAGCGCTCTGGAGGCTCTGGCAGGAAGATTGCCTGCAGTTTGAGGCTAGCCTGGGCCACATAATGAGTTCAAAACCGGCCTGGACTACATAGGGAGGCCCTGTCTCAAAAAAAAAAGTACCAAGGTAGGTTAATCTTTTCAAAATACACTTAAAATATTTTCTCTTAATGTCTGTAATTCTTGTATAGCACTTTTTGCTTTATGTTAAATTATGTGCACATGCATTTTCCTAAAAGAAAGCTCCTTAATGGCAGGAGTCACCTTACATTCGCATCTGTATCAAAGCCTGAGTACAGTGCCTAGTATAGCAGCAATAACCAGTTAATTACTGAACGGATAAGCCCTCCACAATCACAAACAAACATACCAACCCATTGGAAGCGGGAAAGACCAAATATTGGACTGGGGCTCAAATTCTAATTCTTTTTCCCAATTTGGGGGCGGGGCGCATTGTAAGACTGGTAAAGAGAAAAAAAAAAAAAAAAAGAAAAAGAAAAAACAGAAAAAGACCTATTATGTAAAATGACTTCCAGAGGGAGATTTCTTTCCAATGATCCTAATACCTCAGCCCAGAGTAGGGGACATGAACGTATGCGCCCGTATGCGACAGTGTCACTGGGCAGGTAGCTGGGAGACTGAAGGGAAGAAAAGATTCCTACCAACCGCCAGCCAAATCCTCCATTCCAACCATTTTCCCTGCTGGAGGGTGCGTGGAGCATTTCCAATTGATAGTACCCTCACCTCGGGATCCCTGGGCACCGCAGAGTACACTGAGCCTCAAGAGAGTCGCCATCTTGCTTTTGAAGCCTCAAGGTCACTCACTAACCCGGAAGTACAAAGTTACCCGTTACGCCAAAAGAAAACGCTGGGAGGAAGCGCTAGGTGACCCGGAAGTCAAAACGAGGTGCGCGCCTGTCACGCATGCGCACACGAGCTCTCCCAAACCCTTTTGAGAATGGCGGATCTGGGTGAGGCGAACGAAGCGGAGTTGCAGCGCCTGGTGGCGGCCGAACAACAGAAGGCGCAGTTCACTGCACAGGTGCGCGGACGGGGACCAGTTCTGGCGGGTGAAGGAAAAGTGAGGTACAGGTCCCGACAACCACGGAGCTCTCTGGAGGAGCGATGTGGCTGGCTGCTGCTCTGTGCGCGATACTGACTGCGTGCGGGTCCCCTTGCATGGGACGAGAGCCGGCCCGTGTTTCTGGAGGTCGATGGCGCTCACATCCCTGCTAAACCAGTGCAGCGTGAGATGGCCTACGAGGATGAAAGGTTCGGCCAATACATGGGCTGGGAAACCTGCTTAGCCGGTGAGCCCCTTCTAAGCTAACATTTGGAAGACCGAGTTATGATCTTGCCCCTTGAAGGCCCAGTGCTTGTTAGGCAAGACGGCCGTCCAGTGTGGGTTTTGGTTTCGCCGTCGCCCGCTGTCTCACTAGATTGTGAAAATCGCTTGCGATGATGTATTTAAAAACGATAAGTACTGGAACGTTTTTGGAGATGGGCCCTTAAGTGAACAGTGCATACAGTTGGTTTAGACCTTTAGCCGTGTTTTTTGCCCAGGTTTCTCTCTTGCTGGTTGCATGACCTTGAACTTCCTAGTCATAGCCCTCTAAAGAGTTCTGAATGAATAGACTGGCTCCCAAAAGTAATCTCGGTACATAATTGTTTTCTCCTTTTTGTGGAAACAGTAAGGACAGTGCAGACTGTATGGCACTAGAAACCCGCACTTTAGATCCCAAACATTCTTTAAGTGAATACTTTTTCTGTGCCTGTATGTGAATTTTTCTGGAAGAGGAATCCACGAACTTATCAAACTCATAAATGTGTCCATGATCCCTAAATGTTTAGAATATACTGAATTCTAATGATGGTTTAAATTGATCCCACCTTCCCATTTTATATTGGTGCTAGCTGTTCTAGGGAATATTAAAAGGTATTCATTCTACTTGAAAAGGGGACTAACAGTAGGGACGTGGATATGGGTCATACTGGTGACAAATTAGAAAGTGAAGAAAGAAGAGAGTCCAAATCGGTCCCATAATTAAGAGAATGGTTTATCAGGTCATGAAAAATAATGAAATAAAGGACAGGTTGGCTGTAACGGTGCTTGCCTGGAAACTGAGGCAGGAGAATAACTGAGGCCTTGTCAAGGCCTTGTTAAGGCTATGTAGGGAGTTCAAGGACAGCCTGAACTACTTAATGAGACTATGTCTCACAAAAGTAGAAAGCAGGAAGAAAAAAAATTTAGTGGTCTCTCCAGACTCCAGTGGTTACTGATTTTCTTTCCTTTTAGGTGCATCATTTCATGGAACTATGTTGGGATAAATGTGTGGAAAAGCCAGGCAATCGCCTCGACTCTCGCACTGAAAATTGCCTGTCTAGCTGTGTGGACCGCTTCATCGACACTACTCTTGCGATCACCAGTCGGTTTGCCCAGATTGTACAAAAAGGAGGACAATAGACCAATGCCTGGGAGAATAACAGAAGCAGCAAAGGACTTGTTATGAAGCTGACTGAAGGGGGACTGGGGCAAGAGTGGTCAACCCATTGTCAGGTCAGCATCAGTCTGTTGCCTAGCCTGTTGGTGCTAAAAAGTAACAGATCAAATGTACAAAAACATTTATTTATTTACTTGGAATTTAGAAATTCCAGGTTGTAATATCAGTTATTCAATAAATGTGAATTCTCCAACTCCTCTTTTATTTTTAAATTCCATTTTAGGATTTAACACAGAGATCTCTGATTGGAAGGAACACTAGAAATAAGTGTGTTCCAATGCTGCTAGTGGAAATGGGAGATCTTGGGTTTTGAAGAGCCACCTTAAGTGAAGTTACAGGGTCAGAACCATCAAAGCTTTAGCCTCATGCATAGAAGAGAAATCAGGGTTGAGAAAGGTGAAGAACAGAAAACAGCTTTATTGCTTTTACATGGCCAATAGATAAATGTGGCAAAAAAAAAAAAAAAAAAAAAATAGCACTCCCTGGGAAACAGTTAAGCCTGTTAGTACTGGAGGAGGGAAAGGTCAGGACCCAGACAGAGCCACCTTCCTGGAAGTACTTTATTCCGCTGGCCCATTTTCCTGTATCTGTGCTTAAGAATTAGTACTTTTAAAGCATAAAAACAATGCTAAAAAAAAAAAAAAAGGTATAATTTCAACAAAGATTCCACTTGTTCCAAGAAGGTTAAGAGGTAGTATAGACTCTTCTTCCCACTGTAGGCTTCTGCTTATCCCAAGGATAAAAATACACACCAAAAAAACACTGACAATTGAGTACCAAAGTATTAATATTGCAAATAAATATTCCAAAAGATAGCACCTGCTCATAATGAAGGGATAGGGCACCCCTAGCCAACCATGTAATTTAAAACCAAGCACTTTATTAGAAATCTGTTCCCCAGAGAGAACTAATTTAGAACAATACCACTTCATGGAATGTCATCATAGTTGTATTCTATTGCTGGTGTCTTAAAACTGTCATACTACCACGAAGTATTTCTTTGTTACACATGAGGAAAGGAAGGCCAAGGAAAGCTAACTTAACTTGCTCCAGAACTCTACCAATTAGTGGCAGAATCAAGACCAAAAATCTGGATTTCCAAGCTTCTTATTCAGCTTAGGAAGTTGACAACCAGGAAAAAAACCCAACTATGTCACTTGATATTTTTCTCCCGTAATGAAAAATTCACTTGTCTTCTGCCAGCCTTCTTTTGGTAATATTTTGGTTAAGAATCAACATAGTAGGAATCACAGTACAGCAAAGACAAAAGATGTGGTCTCTGCTTGGTACTTTAATCCAGAAGCAGACTAGAAAAAGTGGGTATGTCCCTGAGAAGTTTGTTTCATTTTGGAACTGATTCAACTTAGTTTCAGGGAGAACATAAAATGAATAGGATTAGAAATGAAGGAGAGGACAAGGGTATACCTCAGTGGTAGATCACTTGTCTAGTATTATGTAAGGCCTTGGGTTCAATCCCCAATACTGCTCCCTCCCCCAAAAAGAAAAAACATTCAGATGGCTGTTGCTCTGAATCTTTTTCAGAACATAATTAGCATAACTAACTCCTAATTCTTCCCATTTAATAGACATCACTTCCAACAACTGAAGAAAATTTCAAATACAAATCCATTTAGGCAATATATAACAACAGAACTACAAAACCATTTACTATCAGTCACCAGGTGTTAGGGCTATAGAGAAATTGAGAAAGCCCTAGTCCCTTTTAACAGTTGTCTGTGGATGTTACTGTAAAAGGAAAGTTTGTTCTTATGCCCAGTTCTTCATTAAGTAAACTAGACCACAGCTGCGGGATCAAAACACAGACAGATCAAAGCACCAAGGCTTAAGACAAGTTAGTTTTGACACCTACTATATAAATGACAGCAGCACAGTGTTCCCTTAGCCACCACTGCACATACCACTGTTTCTCATCCACCTCTTGACCCCAGCCTTAATTCCTCCCAATTCAACATTCCAATTGGTGTATCCAGGTCAATATTGGACTTGGCTTTCTGGGTCCTTTAATTTGCTATATATGTACTCTACACTAAATGTGATTAATTGCAAAAAATAATCTCTTCAAGAAACCATCATAACAAAATACCAGATTCCCTATTAACAAGAAAAAGGGATCAAGTTTAACAGGCCAAAAATTGACAAGGAGTCTGTCAATACTTGTACAGATGGCACAAAGCAGCTCTGACCTCAGACCCTGTGCCGAAGGAGTCACTAGCGGAAACCCCTAGGTGTGCGAGCTGTAAATATCCCTAGTCCAGTGGGAACAGGAAACAGGAATGTTTCTCCCGTTTAGTCATCCTCTGAGCTCTCAGCAGATCTTTCATCTGTAGCCACTTTCCAATTTGTGCGTTTGTTTGTCCTTCTCTGTACTTCACTGTTAGCTACAGCAGGGACACTGACTTTCTCCTCTTTCTTTTTCCTTTTGGTTTTCTTAGTGTCTCTTTCCTCACTTTCTTCGGAACTACTAGATGCTGAATCATCTGACTGCGAAGTGTGACTTTCTGGCCCTACAAATAAAACTGGTTTTTTGAGAGACTTTTTTCTGGATTTTTTCTTGCGCTTATGTGGTTGCTTCCTTTTCCTGGTACTAGAAGCACCGGTTTCTTCTGAGAGCTCACTGGAGGAATCTGCTGTTACATCCGTGGTTTCTTTCTTGCTTTTCTTCTGTTTTTTGTGTGACTTTTTTTTCTGCTTCTTTTTGTGAGACTTCTTTGACTTCTTATGCTTGCGGGATTCATGGGTAGATGATTTTATCTGAGGCGATGTCTTCTTCCCATTGGTAATATCTTGCTGATCACTACTAATAAAAAAATAAAAAATAAAAAAGATGTTATGTAGGAAAATATTTACATTTTAATACTCTACATCCTAGACAGGAAATTGTTCACATCTGAATTTTAAAACTTTGACGTAGGATTACTATGAGACTGACCTTTTACTGAGGTTTGTTTCTTCATCAAGTGAAAGTAATTCCAACCTGCTACACTAAGTTATTGTAAAGGGTAATAACCATCATTCTGAGTGGCAACATGAAATCTCTCTGTCCCACCTGGAATCTGAATCATCTCTCCGTTCAGCTATCTTTCCTTTATTCATTTAGTAGCCATTAAGGTTATCAGAGCTACTATCATTGATACAGCAGCATTTTGGTTCAAGTAACTCCTATTTTACTTGATAGTGTCCCCAAACCACAAGAGCAATGGTACTGGCAGTGTAGATATGCCAAAGAGAAGCCACAGAGTAGTTCCTATAAGACAGAAATTTATCATGTGTGGGTATGTACAGGAGAACAGTGTAGACAGGGATCAGTACCATCCGAAGTTTCAGGCATCCACTTGGGAGTCTTGGAGGAAACTATCCCTAGTAGCTAAGGGAAACTATTACATATAAAAAACAAAATGTTTAAAGACTTTCCAAACATCAATCAAAGGAAGGCTAAATAGGGACTGCCTTCCAACTAAATCATGGCAGTTCTGAGATAAGGCCTCCCTACACTGCGCAGGCTAGACTTGAACTTCTGGACTCAACTCATCCTCTGCCTCAGCTCCTAAGAAGCTGGCCCTACACACAAGATTCTAGCTATATTTTCAGAGGCAAGTACAGCCTCTGGAAAGTTTGGGACACAATTTATAGTAAAGAGTAGTTCCTTTTTCAGTAAGCCTATTTGCCTTACCTGTCTGTTTCGAATTCTTCAGGATATAACTCCTTATAACCACTGTGACCCCATCTGTAAGATGATACATTACATGTATTATTAAAGTGATGTGATGCATACATTGTTTGGGAATTAAAGTTAGAAAAACAGTGAAGCACATGCACACATACATACACAGAACAAAGAAAACACAAATGTTGTACAGCCACATCCGTGACAGTTCTGAAACAGCTACATTTTCTTTATTGTATACTGCCATTTCAGACAAAGGATTCTTCTATCCATTAGAATTTCTCAGCTCTTTAAGAGACACTGAGAGACTCTTTTTTTTTTTTTTTTTGTCTTTTTCGTTTTTATCGGTACCGGGGATCGAACTCATGACCGCCTGCTTGCAAGGCAGGTGCTTATGCCGCTGAGCTAAACCCCCAGCCCTCACTGAGAGACTCTTATCCTTCCTAACATGCTGTCTACAATGGAACAAGTATTTCTGTAAAAATAATAATTTAAAAGTATTACTGAAATATGATTCAGATGCCAAGAAATTTGCCCTTTTAAAGCACAGTGCCCTCCTGGGCCAAATTAAACCTTTTTAAAAAAATCAAAATGAGTACCTTTACCCCATGGCAACCATTAATCTATTTCCTGTCTCAATGGACTTGTTTAATCTGGACATACCACATATAAACAATCATCCGATATGTGGCCTTTTACACTTGGCTTCTTTTTTTTTTTTTTACCTTGATAAGGTTTTTTTACCTTGGTAAGTTTTAACCACATTCTCTCACTTCTCAGTACTTTATTCCTTTTACTGCTAAATAATATTTCATTGTATAGATATCCCAAATTTTCTTTATCCATTCATCAGTACACAGACATGTAGGGTCATCTCTCTCCCATCCCCATTTTTTGCACAGTACTAGGGGTTGAATGCAGGGAATACTGAGCTACAGCCTCATCTTTTTTCTTTTTCTTTTCTTTTCTGTTTTTTTTTTTTTGAGACTACATCTTTTCTTAATTGGTACAATTTATATATACATAATGATCATTATAAGGAATTTGTACATGTACATGATATACCTTGATTCTTTATTCCTAGGCCCCTCCCCTCCCTCCAATCACTCTTACCCTCCTTCCTCATTTTTTTTTTTTCTTCTCTTGCTGATTTGTGCAAGCTAACCTCAAACTTATGATTGTCCTGAGTCAACTACCCAAGTAGCTGGTATTCCAGGCCTGATACCACTGTTCCTGGCTTTGTTCTCCACTTTTTGATCAGTATGAACGATGCTAGTTTAAACATCTTGTGTACAGGTTTTTGTGGGAATAACATTTTGACAAACACATGTTCTTAAGTCACTTATCACTACAGGTATCAGGAACTTGGTCACACACCTGTCTGGCATGTTAGCTTCATAATCATATAACTTCTTGTTCCAGGATTTAGCCTTAAGAAAATCTTCTTCCAGTGTCCCAGTAATTTCTGTTTTTGGCCTCCAATATTCTCTTTGACTTTCTTCATCAAAGCCATCACTACGCATCCGACTACAGAAGAAAACAGAAGAACATTTAGATTTCAAAACAGTCTGTGAAGTTACTCAATAGAACTCAGGCACAAAAACCATAGAATAGCTTGAGAGGAAAACAGAGCAATATAATACTTAAACGAGTTAACAATGGACAATACCTATCCCTCTCTGCTACAGTTTAGAGCTGGTATGTCTCTTAAAGGCCCAGGCAAGGCGTGGTCCCCAAAATGACACTGCTGGTGACAAAACTGTTAAGAGGTAATGCCTAGCAGGAGTCCTTTAGGTGTGAGATAAGGGAAGGAACTATAGGATCCCAGCCCCTTACTAGTTCTGTTTTTCACCTCCTGATGATGAAGTGATCAGGTGCTAAACCAGGTGCTCTTGCCAATGCTGCCTTGTCATAAACAGAAAGCAAAGGGAACAATCAATGGACAGGAACCTCCAAAAGGTCAGCCAAAATAAACCTCTTTTCTTTATAAATTAATAATCTGAGGTATCTTGCTACAGTAACAAAACAAAAGGTGACTAACACATTATTTATAAAAACTCCTGAAAAGCCAAGCATAGTGGCACATTCTTTAATTTCAGCACTCAGTAGGCTAAGGCAGGATGATTACCACAAGTTCAAAGCTAGCCTGGGCTACATAGTACATTTGTGACCAGGTTGAACTACACAGCAAGACCCTGTCTCACAACACAACACAGATCCTACACTTGGGAATGAGACCCAAGACACATTCCCTATTACTTGGACATTCCTGTACCTCCACAAGTGAAAGACAACAAAGCCTGTATAACTCTTTGTATTCACACTCAAATTATTACAACGAAGTGTGAAAGAATATTGACCTGATAAAGGTAGTAAGTAGATGGGGTAAAGAAAATACTAAAAGAATGAAAAGCCTAAAAGAAAAAAGGAATGATCAGGTAAGTGACCAGTTAGGTTAAAATAGAAGCTCTTAAGCTAACAGCTATTAGGCAAAGGCCAGGCAAGATGGCACTTGCCTGTAATTCCAACACTCAGGAGGCTGAGGCAAGAGGATCCCTGGTGAGTTTGAGACCAGCCTGACATAGCGAAACTGTCTCAAAAAGCACCCCCACCAAAAAAAGTTGTTAGGCAAGTTTGGAATTCACAGAACCCTAAATATTTACAGTTGTTCAAGACAGAATTTTTAAATTTTCCACTGCAAGTAAATATGAAGGGTTTAGCATCATCTATAGCCCATTAAATTCATGCTGAGTCTAGATTTGCTAAATTGAACATCCTTAATACCATAAAAATCTACTTTCTTTCTTTTTTTTTTTTATTTTTTAAAAATTTTATTTAAGGAGAAAAAAACCAGAAAAAGGGTACAAGTTATACAGAATTTCAGAAAAAATAAACAGTAGGAAATCACTAATTACATATTGTCATCTTAGAAATAGTTGTTATAGTTACGAAATTAAAGCATATAGAGGGAACTTTTAAACAGTGAGACTGCAAACAGTTTTGTTCAATGATCCAACAAAACTCAGTAATATGGTTATCTTATACACTTAAATATATATGCAGTTATATCTTTTAGAGAACTTTCTTTTCCTTTCTTTTGTACAATGATAATTACACAGGGTTTTATTACTCCCACAGTAAAAATCTATTCTTGATACATCACAATGGTTTGCTTTTTGTTCGTTTGTTTTTGCTACTGGAAATCAAACTCAGGAGCTTGCACTTGCCAGGCAGGCATTTTGCCACTGAGCTAAATATCCCTGGCCTCCTATTTTTGGTTTTTTGAGACTGGATCTTGCTATGTAGTCCAGGATGGCCTTAAACTGATAGTGATTTTCCTTATTCAGCCTCCCTAGTGCTGACATTACAGTCAGGTACCACCATGCCCAGCATGTTTTTAAGCAAAAGATGATTCTGAAAAAGATGAGAATTTTTTTTCTTTTGGTACCAGGGACCAAATTCATGATGTTGCACCCGCCAGGCAGGCACTTATACCTCGGAGTGAAGTCCCCAGCCCAGGAATTATTTTGATTCTCAGAAATGAAACCTCACTGGCCTTGAATCAAGGCCAGCAGCTTCCTGATGCTGTTGGTTTCAAGCAGGAGCCTAAAGAGATGTCTTTCTATGGTCTGTTGGCCATTTCAGAATTTGGGCAGTGAAATGGTCAATTCATTAGAAAGAAGCAACCCCTCCCCACTGGTAAGTGGCTGTGAGCGTGGCAGGCTGCAGAAGCCCAGGACAGATGGGAGCCACCAGCGTTTACTGGGACCCGTGCCATGCTGGGACCTGGAGCGATGGGAAACCAAGCACCCCCCCACACACACCCTGGCCTGTTTTACTTCAATATTCATGAAAACGTGGACAGCTATTTTGAAGAAAACAAGAGACTCTAAAACAGCCACTCATGACTTCCCTATTATTTGGTTTTGAAGACCTAAAATGCCTTCCTCATTCTGTTCAGATCAGTTTTATTCTATGTTGTTTTGTATGAATTCTTTGTATGCGAAGACATGGACAACTATTTGGAAGAAAACAAAAGACAGTATGATAGACAGTGAAGATCTCAGGTAATCTAGCTTTGAAATTTGTATCTCTTACATTGCTTTATGTCCTAGTTTGTTCTGTTTAGTTGTGTTTAATTTTACCTCCTTTAAAATAAATAAAGAAAAGAAACGAAACTTCACCTGGAACTGCTGGGTAACATTTTCCTTTTGGTTTCCTGGTAAGTATCCTCCATCTGTTTCTCTATTTCTCTTATTTTCCACATATCTGATTCTTCCTGGATCTGAATTTTAAAAACAGAAACAAAAATAAGTTATTAAAAATAACGTCCGTACAGAAAAGTAGCTAACTAAAAATATAGTGTGTACTAATTCTGGGTGATAGCCTTAACTATAATGAGACACTTGGAAAATAAATTTCTGGTTTCTCTAGTAAGTGGTTAAACAGTTCAGGAAATTTCAAATACAAAAAATTCTTTAACTATAAAATTTATAATCCCACATGTCTCTAATATGACTTTAACTGTATCATTTCCTTTGAACTCTGACCATTCTTATAAGGGAAACAAAGTAAGTACCACTATTAGTTTTTACTGAAAACAAGCTAAAAATTAATAAGGCCAAATCTTTAAACTCATTAAGTTTAAGTCACTTTTCACATAACAATTTTTCTTTCAATTTCTTTTTTATTAGTACATGTTTGCAACACATAATGATTAGCTTCTGCATGGGCAGTTGGTACATGGTACATAACACATCTTATTCACATGGTAATTCTTGTCAAAAATAATAACAGTATGAGCCAGGCATGGTGGTGCAGGCCTTTAATCCCAACATTTGGGAGGCTGAGGCAGGAGGATCACCATGGATCAAAGACCAACCTGAGCTACACAGTTAGTTCAAGGCTAGCCTGGACTACATAGTAAGATCTGTCTCAAAAAAAAAAAAAAAAAAAAAAAAAAAAAAAGCCAGTATGGTTGCTAGAGAACTTTCTAAAAATCAGGCTACAATATCCAAAGAATACAAACACATTTCATTTCTAAGTACTCCTGCATAATTTATTAAATATGTGCTAGATTTATCGTTTTTAAGCTACCGCTCTCAAATCATACAGCTACAAGTTGGTTAACACAACTGCTTAGGCAGCATGATAAAAATTATACACTTACCCAGTTCTGAAAAGTTAGGTGATATGCCAGTAATAATACTTATGGTCAAACCAGCAATACAGTTCACTGAAGAAAACTAAACATGGGCTCTGGCTTCTTTCTTTTCATTGTATGTACTCTCATGACCTCTATCATCTCCCTATGAAGCAATTAATTCACAAACTCATGTCTAGTCCCTCTTTTCATTCTTCCAAGTTTGAATTTTGAACTGTAAGCCTTTCACCACAAATATGTTCAAGACTAAATCAGTCATAGTTTATCTTTTGTTGTTGTTCCATATTTGTAATTAATGAAATTATCATCATTCCCCCCCCCCAGGTCACACAAGGTGATTACATTTAACTCCATTCTTTTCGCTATCATCCAGTTAGCCACCAAGTGTTTTAAATTCTCTCTTAAACTCCTCTTCTTCATCCCTATTATCCTGCCTTCACTCAAACCCTCATCATCTCTCACCTGCAATATTATAATCAGTTCCTAATTGGTCTCCTTACTGTTTCTCCCCACCTAATCTATTCCCCAACCAGTTATTATCTTTCTAAAACATAAACATGATGTCACACTCTGTTTAAAATGTCTGATGTCCTTGCCACTTACATGTTACCTGCTATCACTATTTCCTTTATGCCTTTTTTTTTTTAAACTGGGAATTGAAACCCCAGCTCTTTGTAGTGATCTACATCCCCCTCATATTTTTTGAGACAGTTCACTTTATTTTTTTTAGATAGTCCACTTTTTTTGCTAAGTCCCCTTAGCCACCCAGAGTGATTTTGAAATTTCAATCTTCCTGCCTCAGCCTCCAAAAGTACTGGGATTATAGGGCTACATTCCCAGCACATTCCCTACTTTTTGTATAAATCTTTTTTTTTTTTAATTGGTACCAGGGATCGAACTCACAACTGCCTCCTTGCAAGGCAGGCATTTATGCCGCTGAGCTAAATCCCCAGCCCCCCATCCCTTTTTTTAGAAATCTTTTTTTTTTTTTTAATACTTTTTGGATAAATACACTTTCCTGCCATGCCCCAAGTGATTCATGGCTTGTCTGTCTGTTTTCTGTGGTGCTGGGGGTTGAACACAGAGCCTTGCACATACTAAGCAACCACTACTCCACTTACCACTGATCTGTATCTCCAACCTATGCTTTTTCTCATTGCCGTGTATTAGTGCACGATGCTCTTCAGCCAAAAAGACCTTTTTATACCTGGTAAACCTACACTCATTCATCAAGAACCAGTTCAAATATCAGCAGCTCATAAACCACTCATTCTGTGAAACCTTTTCTAACTGTCATTATTTCATTATCATTAACCTCTTCTAATATTTCATTATTCCTTCCTTAGTGTTCTAAAAGAACTTTCTTAATGTTTCTATAATAGTCATCAAACTGTACCATAATTATCTACCTTTTCATCTTTGTATCTCCTAAATGCCAAAATAATGCTTGGTACAGTGTGTCCGTTAAGTATTAAAGAATGACTGGATTTTACCTCTCACCTTATTGTGAGCATCTGTGTGCCTGATGACATTCCTAAGGAGGACCTTCCCCAGCGGAACCCGGGACATTCTTCAATCTGAAATGAATCAATAACTGACATTCAATAATGATTTCCTACCCTTCTAAGAAGCATAAGGTAAAGATCATTGAACAAGCAGTCAAGGTCCTGAAAAGTTTTTCCTTCACCATTAAAAGAGGGAAATGCCTAACAACAATTAATATAAAGATCAAAGGAGATGAGGTACAGCAGAATTCTTTGAAACTGTACAAGACTGCAGTTAAATGCTTTCATGAGTACTGTTTTATTTAACCCTCACAATGCTCTACTTAATGAAGTAGCTGTTCCTCAATATCCATAAAGAATGTTTCAGGATGCTCACAGATGTCAAAATCAAAGAATGCTCATACCCCTCATTTGTATATAATCTATGTACATGCTCCCACATACTTTTATTTCTAGATGATGTATAGCACCCAAAATACAAATTCTATGTAAATACTTGTTATCCTGCACTGTTGAGGAAATAATCACAAGAGAAGTCTATGCATGTTCAGTACAGAGGCCATTTTTTTCACAGCATTTTCACTTGGCTGTTGGTTAAACCCGAAGATGTGAAACTGTAGATAGTGGAGGGTCCACTGTGACTCCATTCCTATTTTGTAGATTAAGTTCCCTTAAAAGGCCTTAAATTGCTCCAGGCCACATAGTCCCAGGCAACCGATATAAGTCAAGGCCCACATCAGAAATCAAACCTCGAATCTCAAAATTAGTTTTCAATGAAGCAAACACAGTACCTAGTTTTGAAAGTGTCAAGAAACCACAAACGTCAACAATAACAAAAATGCAAAAAGGACCTAAATTTCTTAATGCAGGGAATTTTACTTCCTGTTTTGTACAGAAGTTTCCAAAATCTAAGTGACAAAGATAGTTCACACGTGTAGGTAGCAGGGACTTTGCACAACCACCCCAGCGCTCACTCACCCCTCGATCCTGAGGAAATCAGGCATCTTGTTAGTGTGAGACGAGGAACCACTCCATTACAAGATCTCCGACCCAGGAAGCCAAGGAGTCAGGGCTCAAAGGCAGCTCTGCAGCTTCACCCGAGTCCTTCGTGAAAACGCAGGCTTCCCACCGGTTAACGTGCCCTCGCCCGCGGCCCAGGCCACGGCTGCCTTCCCCCAGCCCAGACCGCCAGGCAGATCTGGCTCCCGGCCTGCGGCCAGCGGGGGCGCCGGCGCGGACTCGGCCCGGCCCGGCCCGGCCGGCCCGCGCATTCCCCGGCTCGCGCTCGCTGGGATGGCCCCGGGGGCTCGGGTTTCACTCCCCAGGAGGCCCGGGACGCTCGGGCTGGGACGGCCTTCCGTTGGGCCCCAGGAAGTGTCTAGGGTGCCTGAAGGGGGGGCTGAGCTTGCCAAGTGGAAGTCAGAGCGAGCGCTCCCATCTCTGTCACCGGGATCCCTGCCCCACGGCGGCCTCGGAGCTCGCGGTCACCTTCCCTTCCAACGCCCGCCCCACACAAAACACACAAACACACCCATACCGTGCGCCGCAGCCTCGCGTGGCGGGGGAGGGGGAGGAAGCGGCCTGAGAGGAAAAGGAGGCGACTTCCTCTCGGGCCGGAAGTCGTGCCCCCGAGAAAGCCTTCCTTCCCGGAGGGGGGGTGCGGAGAGCCCCCGCGGGCAGTTTGTCGCGCGCTTCTGCGGTCCACGGGGACAGGAAAGAAGCGGGCGCTCCCCAGGAGGAGACGCGGGTCGGGTGTGGCCGCCACGCAAGGCCGTTACCTGACGAGGGACATCCTGCAACTGGCCGTGAGGAGACCTGTCCGCTGGGGCTTCTCGGACCCAATTAAATGTTGTACCCAGTCTGGTTGCCCGGGTAACAGACGTCGCGGTCAGTCTGGGAACCGAAAGAGGTGGGTTCCCAAGCTTTGGAATGATTGTCCTGAATTTTGTATTTAGTCTAATCCTGATACAGTACTCTTAAGAATCTAAATCTTATTTTCCTCATTCCGTGGATAATGTGGGCTACCTCTTCAGTGGGGGTCAGGGAGGATTAGGATGGTTATTTCAAGATTAGAAATAATGTTATTACCCTCATATGTTCACCAAGTGTTCCAGCTTATTTGTAGTAGCTTATTCAACTCTCACAATAATTAGAGAGGTATTGCGATCTTCATTTTGAATAAAACCGAGGCATATGCTCTTAACTGCTAACCTCTACTGAGGATTAGAGAAGTCTCATGTGACCCTCACCACCCCCCCACCCACACTTACTTCTGACATTTATAAGGCCTGGGGAGGCACCAGTTACCCGATACAAAGGTGTTGGTCTGATGAGCAGGAAACCCAGATTGAAAGTCACTGCTCCCTCAGGGTTTAAACTCCAGGTGGAGATGAGACTTTACCAGAGAGGATAACTTCAGAATTTAGGAACTGGTACTACATACATAATTATAACATAAGAAAAGATAAAGTGATGTGCAGTCTTTCAGACACAGTTGTTAAAGATAGCTGATAACTTCACTAAAACAATTTTGATCCATCCATTCCTCAAAATAGGAAATGAATCAGTAGTTAACACAGATATTATTTTCCTTAAATTGTCTCTTTCCGGGGGTTTCAGAGACCTGTTTCATCATCAGTCATGGAGACATCCTCAAAGGGTCTGCTCACTCAGATTACTCAGTTCTGGAATCTCCTAGATGATCTGGCTGAAAGTGACCCAGAATGTTATAAAAACTTCATTCAACAGGAGCTGAAAGAGGGGAAACAGCTCTGTGCTGGCCCAGAGCCACAGCTCTGTCTACAGACCAGGATTGTGGTATGTAGAGTTGGCTGCAGGAGAGGGGAGGCCTTGAATGAACTTATCCTGGAATAATCAGAGAATGCTTCCTAGTGCTACTTTAACACAAGAAAAGTTGATGGGAATTGCCTTTCTAAACAAAAACTATTAACACAGCATGGAATACTGTGTTCCAGGAAAAAGGATGATAAATACATATAATTTTGGAGATTATCAAAATGAGTTATTTTTCTACTAGAAGAAAAAGAAAAAATGATGTGATGATTTAATAAAGCTCCATGGAGTTGGAGGTTTTTCAAATAAAAACTTATTTGCTTTGGGAAATAATGAAGTGGGGAAATAGAGTCAAATGCACCAGAAACAGCTAATCAGTTCCCCCTTCTTATGCCCAGTTCCTTTTAGAAGGAGCAAAAGTTGGATTCATGACAAAAATAGCCGATGACTGGAAAAATCAAGTAACAATTTATCAAATAGAATCGTAACACATGGAATGACTTCTATATTCAACCCTGTGATAAGTTAACTTTAGGTGTAATCTTTACATTTGTTTAAAAAAACTAAATTTTGAGATATCAAAATTACTCACTTTGCAGAAGCCAAAAGAAAAAATACTTTTTATCAACCTGTGTCAGTGGAAAAGGATTCCCATTCCCCAGTCAGCCATGCATCCAGTGCCTCTAAGTGTTGGCAGGCCAGAAGACATCTCTGAAACATCAGGTAAAGAGGATTAAAGGAAAGCACATTTAAAATTTTTCTACTGGGATCCAGGTACAAGAACACATGCCCATTATCCCAGCTACTTGGGAGGCTGAGGCAGGAGGATCACAAGTTTGACTAATGAGCCTGGGCAATTTAGGGATAATTTGTCTCAAAAATTAAAAGGGAGGGCCTAGGGATTTAGCTCAGCGGCATAAGCGCCTGCCTTGCAAGCAGGCAGTCGTGAGTTCGATTCCCAGTACCGATAAAAAGGAAAAAGACCAAAAAAAAAAAAAAAATTAAAAGGGCAGCCAGGGATGGTGGCACATGCCTGTAACCGCAGCACTAGGGAAGCTGAAGCAGGAGGGCTCTGGTGAATTTGAGGCCAGCCAGGGCTACCTAGGAAGTTCAAGGTCAGCCTGAATACATAGTGAGATCCTGTCTCAAAAAAGAAAGGGATAGGAATGTGAGGCCTTGGGTTCAATCCTCAGTAAATAAGGACTAAATTTTACTTGGTAAAAGTACTTCAAATAAAGTATTTTATTTGGTAGTAAAATGGTAACAAATTAGTATACCTGTATTCAAATTTAGTACTGTTTGTAATTTAATGAGTACTTTTAACCTGTATAATGCTAAGCAGTGGCTAATTGGAATTTTGGATATACAACGCCATTGCTGTTGTGGGAAAATAAAGAAATTTATATTTTGTAGCTTTATCAGGAATATGGTTTAATATATAACCTAATAACATCAGTAGAGAAACAAGCTGTCTTCGTTTCATATCCTCTGAATCACACAGATGTGTACACAGTAATTGATGTTGCCTACAATCCTGAGGTCCTTCAGGCAACAGAAAAGGACCAAGTGAATAAAGATCAGTTAATAAAGATGACTATGAAATGCATTGAGAAGCAATTCCAACTGACGCTCTCACACTCTTACCATATTACTGAATTTAAAATAAAAGGAAGCATTCAAAGAATGAAACAAAATCTAATGGGAGTCCAAGCTGATGTCACAGATTTAAGGCAGAAAATAAAGGGTAAGTTGATGAATGTAAGTCAAAAAGTAAAGTGATTTAGGGTTGGGTTTTGTTTTTTTTGTTTTTTTTTTTTTTTGCAATTTGTGTACATCTAGCAAACTGGAAGACTTGATTTTAAAAGTTAAGTAGCTTTAGAAAAATATTGGCTGTAATCCCATCATTGAGGAGGCTGAGACAGGATTGCTGAGTTTGAGGCCAATATAGGTAATACTACATTCAAGGCCAGCCTGAATACACAGTTGAGACCCTGTCCCCACAGATTAGCTATTTTATTTTATTTATGTTACCTTTTTTGGTACCAGGACCTTGCACTTACCAAGCAGGTGCTGTGCCACTGAGCTATATCCCCAGCCCTAGTTGTTTTAAAATGTTAGCATATCCATAAAGATTTTAACTCGTGCAACATTTTCGGCCAAATTTTTTGGCTTAAAATTTCAGTTTTACTGTTTATTTGTTGCAGAACTAGGGATCTAACTCAAAATCTCAGAGGCCAGGCAAGCGTTCTATCAGCCTGATTTAAGATTCTTTTCGCTAATATTTCCCAACTAATTTAACTTAAGCTTAATCTGCCATCAGCTACATACAGCAACATACAGCTTACAGTCTGATTGTATGTTGTGACTTTATTTCATCTTTTTTGTAAAGAGCACACTCTTGAACAGCTAAGAAGTAGTACTGTGAACAATTCAGATCACTTTCCTCAACTGTTACTACCAAAAGACCAAGCTTCAAGCAAAGCAAGATGTCTGATAGAAGAGATTTCTAGTACTGAAATCCAAAGGGAAACGAAGATACCAGTCTATGACTTAAAATTTCTGAAGGATCAGAATGAAAAACCTGTGAAAATTGAATTGAAAGTTGACCTACCTGGTATCACTGAAGTCTCTCTCTGTGAACTGAGTGTTTCTGAGGTAAGCTGAATAGGTGACATAACAGTCCCTTAGCATCCATGAGGACTGTTTTCAGTAACTTCTGCAGGTACCAAAATTCAGTGATGCACAAATCCAGTGTATAAAATGGCATAGTTGCTGGGCATGGTGATGCACACCTATAAACCCATCATCTGGGAAACGGAGGCAGGAGGATCACTACAAGTTCAGCCTGGGCTACAAAGTGAGTTCAAAGCCAGCGTGAACTGCACAGTGAGACCCTGTCTCAAACAAATGCAATAAATAGATAAAGTGTCATAGTTATATAGAATTTGCATATAATACACTCCCATATACTTTCAAATGTTCACAACAGGGCCATAATTCATCTGACTCGCAGCTGGACTGTTCTGAAACACAAGTGGTAAATGCATAAGTGTCCCATTGGGCAGCATGGGACAGTCCCATCAGGCAGGATGGTTATGCATGTATTAGTGGTTCTAGCCAGCAGGAACCTGCCAAATCATCTCTAGATTAAAATACCTCATACACTGTAAATGATAAATAGTTAATATTAGTCCACTTCCTGTAACTATGAAAAATAGCTAAAATAATAAACTTTTCAAGAGGAAAAGATTTATTTTGGTCCAGGATTTCAGATTCCAGTCCATGGTCCAGTCCATGTAGTCTTTAGGTCTGTGGTGAGGCAGCACATCGTGGCAGGAGTCCAGGGCAGAGCAAAACTGCTCATGTCATGGCCAGAGAACAAGGGAGAGAGAAGGAAAACACCAGGGTCCCACACTCCTTGCTGTGCCCCCAGACTCACAGCAACTGCACGTCTTCCTGCTGGTCCCTACCTCCTAAAGATTCCACAGTCTCCTGATAGCTGCCACCCTAGGGCATAAGCCTTTACCACACAGACCTCTGGGGACATTAAAATGTAACCTATCTCAAATTGTTAGATTGTACTGCTTAGGTAATAACAATGAGAAAGATCTTTTACATCAGAAGCCTAACAATGATACATTTTCTTTCTTTCTTTCTTTTTTTTTTTTTTTTTTGTCTTTTTTTCATCTTTTATCGGTACCAGGGATCGAACTCACGACTGCCTGCTTGCAAGGCAGGCGTTTATGCCGCTGAGCTAAATCCCCAGCCCCCAATGGTACATTTTCAATCCAAGGTAGATTAAATCCAATGATACAGAATTTTCACTTACAGAGGTACAGTGAATCTGTACCAGTCCGCACTCACTGTATTATATTGTAATACTAGCAAACTCTGTAATTTTAAGGGCTTACAATAACTAGGAAGTCACACATCAGCTCCATGAATCTTGCCTGCACATTCCTAGATCAGGTGAAGGAGCAGTTTCCGTCTATGCCTTTTTCCCAGCACAGGTAATATAGAAATGGCCAGCCTACGCAGTGGGTCTAAAACTTCGGCCTGGGCGTGGCACAGATCACGTGTTACAGTCCACTGGCCGAGGTATCTCACAAAGCCAAATCATACACCAATAGGACTGGGACGTGTATCCTTTCCACAGGTAGTCACCGGAGGTCATTTGACATTTGGCACGGATACAGAAAAAGAGCAAACAGTTGGCAACAGTCCTACAGTCTACCGGTGTATACTCAAGGTCACAGATGCTTGTTTGTTTCTTCAAAGAAAATAACCTAATCACAGTACCAAAACTCCAAAATACAGGATTTTGTCATTTATATATAGTCTGGTTTGTTCCTCGGAACTGCAGACCTGCTAAGTTACCTACTCCTGAGCCCACCCACCATGCAGTGTGGATGCAGGCACATGATCACCACCGTTAACAGTCTCATTGCAGAAATGGGGGAAATATGAGGCACACTAGTTAGTGGTGCACACGAATTCTGAAGTCCTAGGGGCAAACCCTGTGAGGGCCCCTTGTGTGGAGCTGGAGGCTATTTTTGCTTTGAAAATTTTTTCATTACCTAGTTTCCCAGTCTATTATTTTTCATGGCCTCCAGCTCCATTTGGGAGGTTATTTTCTTTATCTGATAAAAAATTTAGCCATATCAGAAAGCAGTGACTATACCAGGCTTAGGTGCAGGGCAGCTTTCCAATCCTGTTTCTTATATATGGTATATTCAAAGCCAAAGAATGTTTTAAATCTTGGTTTTTGTAGTACCAGTCAGTGCTACACTCACTTTGACAAACTTGTATCTCAAGAGCTGCCTGTCTTGTTAGACTTAATTGTTGTCATTTTAGGCAAATACCAAGATTTACCAAAGTGTACCTTAATTCAGACATTTTAATTAAGGGCATAAAGATCTGCAATTTAGTATTTGTCTACAGACTTTGCTAATAAGAATAATTTCTGAACTTTATCCATAGAAAATATAGTTCCATTGTTCAGCCTTTAAATACGGAATTTGGGGGCTCTATATATTCCCTTTCAATTCTGCTTGCAAATTGAGCAATTATTTTCAAAATTCACTTTACTAAGTTTCCTTGCCGTTTGCTCATTGACCCTGAGAAAGTACCATGTGATTTAGGAATGACAACATCCTACTTCTGGTACTGTATCAGTTAATATCTTATGTATTGAGCTGCCGTCACAATCTCAAAATTTTAGGAATTTACAATTCTACTTTTTTTTTTTTTTTTTTAACTTTTTATCGGTTCCGGGGATTGAACTCACGACCATCTGCTTCCAAGGCAGGCGCTTATGCCAATGAGCTAAAACCCCAGGCCCTACAATTGTACTTTTATTGCTCATTACAAACCACATGGCAGTAATGGTATCCTCCCCTTAAGGCAGTGATCCAATAGCACGAACACTGACCAGGAACAACTTCTTTATTCTTAGGATGACTTACTGATCGAGGTCTCTGAGAGGTACAGACTACATTTGAATCTTCCAGAACCTGTTCATACTGAAATGACTACAGCAAAATTTATCAAGAATAAATCTACATTAATCATCACAATGCCACTGATATAAAACAACAGCATCGTATTTTGAGTTTTCAGTGCTTCGTGTGAACTATAGGACTTGTGTGGGTAAAGAGGCTATACTTTACCTTAAACATTAATTCTTTATTTTGTTTTTGTTTTTTTTTTAAAATCGGTACCAGGGATTGAACTCACGACCGTGCGCTTCCAAGGCAGGCGCTTATGCCGCTGAGCTAAATCCCCAGACCCTAATTATGTATTTTCTAAGAGTTCTTTTTAATGGAGGGACATTTTCCCTTCACCTATTATTTTTAAGTGACTTTCCTTTCTCAAATAAACTTGGTATCAATCAGAAACTACTGAAACGGTGTCAATGGTATCTATAGTGACCTTAAGTAACTTAAACTACCATTTGGGAAAGTTCTGATTTTTTTCAAGGAAGATGTAGGAATTCTTGGCTACTTGAAAAGAGAAATCTCTGCAATTTTTGCATCAGGAAAAAAACTTCCAACTGTGCAAAAGTTTTTATCAGGATGTGCCAGAGGTGAAAGTTTGTTCCAGCACTACAGATGTAGGGCCAAATATATTCAAACCTGTTCTAATATTGCTCTGTACTTCAATGAAACAGCTCTGCCAGGAGTCCAGGATACCCAGCCAGACCTGTTTCTATCAGATAGGGACATCTCTGTGGACAAGGTACAATGACACGTAACAGCAGTCACATGTTGCACATCGCAAGCTAAATAAATCCATCTCTAATTTGAAAGTGGAATTTGGACAAATATATTTCTACTGCAGAAATGAAGTGATAAAATGTCTAACTTCCATTTATCTTGTACTCCAGTTTAGCAATATGCACATCCAACTTTAAACATCCTTTTATCTTTTGTAGATAAAAGTCTCTTGTAATTACTGGTGTATACTCCAACTTAAGAACTATAAATTCTTTGCTAATTTAAAATTTTGTTTAAATAGTAGCAAAGTTTTATTAAAGGGAGGGAAAGGCAGGAAAATGGTAGCAAAGTTTTGTTAAAGGCTCTGCAGAGGGAGTTTGGGCCAAGTAACAGAAGTACACTCTAGAGTGTGAAGGTGACCGCCACACGAGACAGAACACAGTGGCATAAAAAAGACCTAATGCTGTATGTACAGAAAATAATTTCTATGTGACATTTAAAAAACATATATACTTTTCTTAAGCTTGACATGGATTTGATAATTTATTTACTGAAAACATTCTGGAATGGTGTAACCTAAAATTATTAAGTTACTCTTTCACACTTTAAAACACTTGAAGTCAACCAGGCATAGTGCAACACACCTATAATCCCCAGCACTCAGGAGGCTGAGGCAGGGTGCCATGAGTTCGAGGCCAGCCTGCACTACATAGCAAGCCCCTGTCTCAAAAAAAAAAAAAAAAAAAAAAAAAAAAAAAGTGGACTCATTTAAATTTGAACATAAGATTTTTTTCTTCTCAAAATTAAAAATTTAGAGACTAGATTTTCTCCACAAACTCAGTTTTAGAGCCAGGGGTAGTAGTAACACATGTCTGAAATGTCAGCATTTGGGAGGCTGAAGCAGGAAGGTTGCTGTTTGAGGCCAGCCTGAAATGTGTAACAAAACCCTTTGTCAAAGACAAAAAATAAAAACAAACCCTTAGTTTTAGACCACTTTCCCAGTAGTGACTGGTTTCCCTGTGTACTCTGGCGATTGTGCATTACAGAGATAACTATTCCCAGAAACCGTCATCTCCACATCCATCTCCTTTTGTACACCACGCCTCGGGATATCGTGACTCCACACTCACACACTTGAGAGGCAAGAGTAAACTCCTCTAACACAGGTAGCCCTCCTATTCATCCATAGTGGTGTAAGTGCCACGCCTCTAGATGGAGTGCTTCATTACCTTCCTAGTTTAGTTTTGGATTACATCTTCCTAAATTCAATCCTTATTTTACCAGTTACATAAATTCACTTTATATATATGAGAGCTTAATAAGCACACAGCTGACACTGGATCTTAATCATTTAATGTGAAAGAATTCCCAGAAGATCAAAAATTAGACCAGATGTATTGAAAACAAAGTTTAATTTTAAATCTTATTTAAACAAAAAACACTATTCTAACTTTGTTCTTTCAGTTCTGTAAGACAAATACACTGGCTCCAGATTTAGAGTATAGCCAAGATAAATTTTTAACTCAAAACAATTTTTCTAGATGGTTAACTTTATTTTTCCTTCAGGGGAACAAATAGAGCCACAAACATTAGTAAAGAATGCATTACTTCTGAATTTTCATCTGGTGGAACCAGATCTGGCCCAGACTGATGATGGTCCCTAGTGATACACGTATGTTTTCACATCATCTGCAATTCAACCTAAAATTACTAATTACTGAAAAGTTAGATTAATGTAGTGAATTGTTTTCATAATACAGCAAAGTGAATGTTTGTGAAAAGTATGGAGTGTCACTTATGTACCATGTAATAATCAACACTGAGAAATATCAACAGTGAAACAAAGCAAATATCAGATGCTAGCTCCACATATCACATATACAAGGAAGCACTGGTCAGGTTTATTTAGATAGTCATAAATAATTCCATATATTTATTAAAATGCATCAATTCAACAGAAAGTCTGGAATTGTGGTAATGTTCCAAATTGATTTTTACTATCCTAAATGTCATGTCTTCCATGCCTCCAAAAGAAAGGCAAAATATAACTTTAAAAAAATTCTTTTTAAAGTATTTAGGCTGATGAGGTAGCCACCTAATGAATATTTTTCTCTCCAGCAGAATTTTAGGGATACCTTATTTTACATGAGACAATGATGGGGTAGAAAGAAACACTTCTAAAAATACATTTATTTTTTAATTGCACAAGCAGAAATTACCATTCTGCTTGTGCAAAATAAAACCTTTTGTTTTTTGAGACATCTCACAACATTGCCCAGGCTGGCCTCAAATTCCTGGGCTAAAGTGACCCTCCAGTCCCGGCCTCCTGCACAGCTGGGAACACAGGCAGTGTAGCTGTGGTATCACTGTTTAGCATTCTGAACCATTCACAAATACAACCCTTTTATCTCAGACAGGACTTGGGGTTAGACTTTGGCACATACCCAACTCTAGTCACCATATTTTACATATTTACATGTATCCCATATTTATTTCATAGCGCTTTCCAGTTATTTAATAAATTCTGAACTAACTTCATTTATAATCAGCTATCTTCAAGGAAAATTCTACTTCCACAACTTACTAAATTCTTTTACATTTTATAAGCATGCTCTTTTACTTGGTATAAAATTCTCTTTTCAGAACTGCATACTTCAACTGTTTAAATAAATACCCACACAAATCCTCATGTATACCAAGAAACTGGTTTATATCTTTACCTTAGGGGCAAGTAATTATTAATTTTAAAGATCCATAGAAAAATAAATGTTTGAAGAGGTCTATGAAAATTTTGACTTCTTAAATTTCACTTATTTTAGGGGCTGGGGATTTAGCTCAACGGCATAAGCACTTGCCTTGCAAGCAGGTGGTCGTGAGTTTGATCCCCGGTACCGATTTAAAAAAAAAAAAAAATTCACTTATTTTCCTCGATGTCCTGTACCCCTTCCCATATATAATGAACCAAAACCAAGATCATGACAGAAAACTTAGACCATGGTTAATCAAAAACCCTTCCCCTAAGAAAATCAGTTTTCCTAATTTATCTTTCCTTCACATTTAAGAAATTTTAGGCAATTCAATTTTGAATTGCAAAGTGTCATCAAGGTTACTTTAGTCCTTGTGTGTAGGGAAGCACAATTCTGCCTATCCTGTATTTCTCTCTCTCTTTTTTTTTCTTGTCTTTCCTTTTTTATCGGTACTGGGGATCGAACTCACGACTGTCTGCTTGCAAGGCAGGTGCTTATGCCGCTGAGCTAAATCCCCAGCCCCTGTCCTGTATGTCTTACGGGAAATGCTTATCACCAGGCCAGCACATGACCCATGACTAAAAGTACACAGCTTCTAATCTGGTATTTAATCATTAAAAGTGAACAGTATCTGGGAATGACTGGCATTTAAAAATTCAGTAATGCCATTATAAATAATTCATCTGGAAAGACTCCATAATAAAAATGACTGGTGAACTTTAAAAGAACCATGTGTTTAATGACATATAAATATCCTGTAAGAATGAACCAAAATGACCTGGAAGCATCTAAAAATTCTTGGGTTAATTATAACAACATTGTGATAGGTTTTTCAAGGTATTTTCTAAACTCAGCAAGCCACTGGGCTCCAACTGCTCCATCCACAACTCGATGATCACAACTGAGCGTCACAGACATCATGCTAGCCACATCAAACCTAGAAAAAGTAAGGGTATTATTAGGTGTCAGAGGCATTCGATAAATTTAGCCCGCGTCCTCCCATATGCTGACTCCTGCCCTCAATCCTACTCAGGCAATCCTAGCTCCCACCTACTAATGTCCCTTGTATGGTTACCTCAGATTAACAGCTTGAAGAAAAAAGTCAGACACCTGGGACATGGGTGGGCAAACCACCACATACATCAAATCCTATACTCTGCTATTCATTTTTTAAAAATTATGTTAGGTATTATTTATGCCTGCTTTTAAACTGAATGGCACGGTATTTGCAACAAAGTCTATATGACCAAAAAGTATTTACAAAAGTAAATACTTTTGTAAACATCTGAAGTATTTACTGCCTGACACTTCAGGAAGTGTATTCAGTTCTCACCTAGAATAAATCTATTTGATAGGATCCCGTCCCAAACATGATTTGCAAATAACTGTCAGTAAAACAAACTCCAAAAAACAAAACCAAAAGGAGGACAAAGCCATCAAAATGAGCCTGTAGCTCCCTTTCTACTTTGACACTTACCCTTTTTCATTATCTGCTGGGACCAATTTATCCTCTGAAGCACCAATTGCTAAAATACATGCCTGAGGTGGGTTAATAATAGCAGAGAAATTCTTAATTCCAAACATTCCTAAATTGGAGATTGTAAAAGTGCCACCCTAAAGAAAAAAGGATTAAAAATAGGTATTAATTTCTTATCAACATAAATCAGAAAAAGTTACAAATATTGTTACTTTGTTTTCAGAAAGTTCTGAAGAGAATACACATTAAAGAAAATTACAACCATTATAATATGAACATTATGGTTGTATAATACAACCATTACAATATAAAATGTCAGTTTGTTTTGTGCATATAGTAAGTTGGAAAAAAAGTATTTTCAGCTTCTGATATGTGAATTAATTTTTCTTTATTTTCAAGACCTTATGTCAATAAGAATATGTAGCAGATTGAAAAGGTAAAAAGGGAAGTATGTGTTTACCTTAAACATTATTTAACCCTTGAAAGTCAACAAGTAACGTATTACCTGGAATTCATGTGGCTGTAGTTTACCCTCTCTTGCTTTGGTTGCTAAAGAAACAACATCGTTAGCAATGGTTTCCAGTCCCTTTATATGTGCATTAAACACAATAGGTGTGATGAGTCCTGCAGCCGTACTGACAGCAACACTGATATCAACAACATGATTTCTGTTTAAAAGGACAAAAGGGTTCAAAGCTTAGTAGCTCTAAAAAAGCAAACAAACAAAACTCTAAATGGTCAACACCAACATTTATCAAAAGCTACAGTGTAGCTTCCTGGTAAAGCACTTTTCTAGCAGGCATGAGGCCCTTGACAGAAACAAAATGAAAACAACAACAAAAAAACAAGAACAACGAAAAACAAACCTATGTGCCAGGTTAAGCAAGAATGGGTATTTACTATGAAGAAAAACCAAATAGCAGAATCAAACACTGAAGCCAGGTATGGCAGTGCACACCTCCCATCTCAGTGCAATAGGAAGCAGAGACAGGAGGATTGTAAGTGTGAGCTAGAAAACGCAGCTGACTTAGTGACACCTGGCTCCACTTATCTTAGCCAAAAGGTTGAGAGCGATGCGAGACCGTATCTCAAAATTAGAAATTAAAAAAGAACTGGGAATGTAGCTCAGTGTAAAGGCTTTGGTTCAGTCTCCATCCCACCCCCCAAAATAGGATCCAGTTTGTGCTAATATTCCAATAGATGCCTCATAATTTTGACCTTTTGCTTCATTTTTTCCTTGATTTGCACTTTTGAAAAAATGAATGAGAGCCAAGTGGACTGGAGCATATCTGTAATCCCTGCTATTCTGGAAGCTGAGGCAGGAGGATCTTAAGTTGGAGGGCAACCTAAACAATTTAGTACAATCCTATTCCTAAATAAAACACAGTTGAAGAAGGAAAGAGCTCAGGCTGTGCAGCACCCAGTGGCTGGCAGGACCCATGCTTCAGTCTGGCTTTGCAGGTGTGGATTTTTAGAGGTTTGGGCCTGAAAGCTTGAGCACTAAGTCTAGGCTCTGCCTGGCTCCCTTGCTGTCTACTTTGAGCACAGCCCGCAGTGGTCTCCTCGCATCATCAGTGATCCGCCTCCGCTCCAGATCAAGGGGCCTCTGGAGCAAGCAGGCACTCAGATGCCCACAGTCCGAATCTAAGGGGCTGGACAGCGTACCCAGGACACAAATACTAAGGCTGTGTGAGTCAGGGGTATCTTTATAAATAGTTAATTAAAATGAATAAGCCAGCGGTATAACTCAACAATTATGTTTTATTATCTAGATAGTTTATTGTATCAAAGTTATATTACCTTATAATGGCAGATGCTCTAAAAGGAGTATTTAAGCTGTTTCAATTCTATTACTTCCCCCTCACCCCCCAGGACTAATGGAATAATGTAATCTTATACCACCTCTGTGTGAATTCTGCCCCATTAAACGTTGTGCCTTATTCTATTAATTTTTTTTGTTGGAATCCAGTTCTATACTTCAGAAAAGTAACTTCTTTTGGAAAAAAAGTATTTTCTTCTGGGAATTTACTTTTGAAAAGAAGAAATCTAAAACCCTCATAATGTTTGTATTTGCTAGTTACTTGTTATATTATTAATAAATTTATTCAATATGTGAATCTGTAAATTAAGGAAGATGGATTGGCTGATTGATTAAATGCCTCAGGAGTGAATACAGCCCTGAATATAGCAGAAAACATCCGCCGCCCAGCCCTGCGCAGAGGGAGAGCAGGGCAGGACCTAGCCTCCCCACGAACAGCTGCGGGACACAGCAGGCTCCAGCCGCGACTCATCTCCTTCCCCAAGCTGCTGGACTGCAGCAGTGCAAGTTCTGGAAGGAAACCACGCACCCAACACGTGGGCACAGAGCGATCTCTTTGACCGTTTCTTTTTGAGTTTTTGATTTGTTTTTTGGTTTCATTTCTTTTTAATATCCTTTTATTTGTATTCTGTTTTTGCTGTTACTTTTAACATAACTCCATTTACATTTTCCTATTTATTCTTTACTGGATTTTTATCTCATTTTCTCTCCTCTTCCTATGCTTTTTTTGAATTTTTACTTCATTTTTCCCTTTTCTCATCCCCTACATTCTTACTATTAATTTTACCTTATTAATTTTTAGCCTTTTTATTTATTATTGCTGATACCTTTTCTATCATTAATAGTGGTGTAATCTGGTTTCTTTTCTCCTCTCTGAGTGATGTTAGGGAGCAAGAAGGTTGGACACTAACAAAACCTGCATTTTTTTGAGACAAGCTCTCACTAAACAGTTCAGGCTGGCCTTAAACTCACAATGAACTTACACTGATCCTCCAACCTTAGCCTTCTGAGTTAGTGTATGTGTGTGTATCTTGGGAATTTGTTTGTTTCTTGAGATAAGGTCTCACTATTGTAGTTCAGACTGCCCTCGAACTCACAGCAAGGCTCCTGCCTCAGCTTCCCAATTGCTGGGATTGCAGACATGCACCATCACGTCTGGCAGGAATTTCAATATAGAAACACATGAAGCATGAGAGAAAATAACTACTCAAAATGTCCATAATTCATCAGTATCTGTCTGCAAAGATACTAATGTGGATGTAATGCCAAACAATCCAGAAGACTGACTTTTTTTTTTTTGTCTTTTTCGTTTTTATTGGTACCAGGGATCAAACTCACGACTGCCTGCTTGCAAGGCAGGCGCTTATGCCGCTGAGCTAAATCCCCAGCCTCTCAGAAGACTGACTTTTAAAAAAATGACTTCACAGAGAATACCAATGCAAGATATAAAGGAAGTATTCAATAACAAGATAGGGATTTTGAAGAACCACCAAACAGAAATTCTGGATATGAAACAACACAATGAGCCAAATAAAAAGCTCCATGGAAAGCCTCACCAATAAGACCCACTGGAAGACAGAATTTTTTTTTTTTTTTTCTTTTTTGGTTAAAGGGAATTGAACTCAGGAGCCTGTGCTTGCCAGGCAGGCACTTGTGCTGCTAAGCCGTGTCCTTAGCCCCAGAAGACAGAATTTTAAGGCTTGAATGGAAGAGAAGACTCAAGCACAACAATAAAAACATAAATTATAAATAAAATCCCAAAACTAGGACAAGATTAAAACACCAAGCTTACAAATTTCTGTTGTACAAGAGAGCATCAAGATTCAGACTAATAGCACAGAAAAATCTCTTTAGTGAAATAACAGAAAACTTCCCAAATCTTGGTACATCAGGTATTGAGAATTATAAGCAGGCACAACCAGAAAAGAACTTGCCTCCATCACATGCCAAGAGTAGAGAGTAAGAAAAGAACAGTGAAAGCTACAAGAGAAATACCAAGTGACCTGTAGAAGCAAATCCATCATACCAACTGCTCTGCAGAAACTCTGAAGACCAGGAGGCCCATGAACAAGGTAGTTCAAGCCCAGAAAGAAAATAACTGCCTAGATTACTATATCCAGCAAAGCTATCATTCAAAATTGAAGTCGAGCATAAGCTAAAGAAATTCATGACCACTAAGCCAGCACTGCAGAGGATACTTAAAGGAACCCTATACCCAGAAGAGGAAGAGTAGATGAGCTTTTAAGAACCAGGAAAGAACAAAACATTACAAAAATAACAAAATGTCAGGAATTAGTACATACCATTCTGTTAAATCTGAATATACTAATTCTCCATTAAAAACCACAGACTGTCAGATTGGATTAAAAAACATGAACCAACTTTTGGCTACTGCGAGAAGCACACATCACTAGCAAAGACATACACAGATCGAAAATGAAAGGACAGAAAACCATGGTCCATGCAAAGGAACTCAAAAGCAAGCACGTGTAGCTCTACTGCTATCTGACAAAGCAAATGTTAAGACAAAATTAGACAACATAACGAAGGTCACTGCACACTGGTAAAGGGGAAAATCCACCAAGAAAGTACAATTGTGAACATATACATCCAGACATCCAATTTCATAAAACAGACACTACTCAATGCAAGAGGTTCTTTGGGTCCCAATACAATTAACAGTGGGTGACTGCAATGTTTTACTCTAACCAACAGATAGGTTCTACAGACAAACTCAACAAAAAAATCAGTTCAGTTATACCACGGATCAAATGAGCTTAACGGATATCTATAGAAAGGTTCTACAGACAAAGTCAACAAAAAAATCAGTTCAATTATACCACGGATCAAATGAGCTTAACGGATATCTACAGAACATTCCATTTTAACAACTACAGAAAGTACATTCTTCTCAGACGCTCACAGAACATTCTCCAACATAGATTTTATTTTAGGCATAAGGCAAGCCTTAACAAATATAAAAAATATTTGACGTAATTTCTTTCATTTTACCATATCATAATGGGGTGAAGTTAGAAATCAACAGCAAGAAAAATTAACAGGAACTATACAAACATATTTAATGATTCACTTTTTTTTTAACAATTCAGTTTCGAACAATCAGTATACTTTCACTGAAAAATATCATGAATTTAAAAATTCCTAGAATTAAATGAAATACAACACACCAAAAGTCAGTTCTAAAAAGTATGTTTAAAGTTATGACTGGCTATTTCAAAATAATCAGAGAAATCTCAACCTAATGATGCATGTCAAAGTTTAAAAAAAAAAAACAAGAAGCAAAACCAAACTCAAGATAAGCAATATATATGGACAGCTAAAACTATGAGATAGAGACTACAAGAATATACAGAATCAATGAAGAGTGGGTTCTTTGAAAAGATGCTTGATAAACCCTTAGCCAAATTAACCAAGAGACAGAGAAGACTCAGACCCTAGGGGTTTTTTAAAAAGAAAACTCTAGGGAGTGGGGGAGGGATGTTAAAACAGACACAATTGAAATCCAGAGGATTATTAGGGACTACTTTGAAAGCTTATATTCTATTGGAGAATCTAGAAGAAATAGATGAATTTCTAACCACACATGAGCCACCAAAACTGAACCAAGAGGATATAAAAAATTAAACAAATCAGTAATGAGTCATCCAGTTTTAGACAAAAAAAGCCAAACGTATTTTGGAGAAAAGACAACCTCTTTAACTAATGGTGCTAAAAAAACTGTGAATCCATTTATGGAAGACTGAAACTAGATCTGTATCTAGATCCCTGTTTCTTTTTTTTTCACCAAAGAATGAATATTTATTGACTTTCAGCAGGGTAGTGGGATCAAACTCACAACCTCATGCTTGCCAGGCAGGCACTTAGGCCACTGAGCTAAATCCCCAGCTTCCTTATTTCTTACTCTGTGCAAAAATCAATTCAAAATGGATCAAAGAACTAGGTTTAGTATCTGAAACTTTAAAACTGCTAAAAGAAAACAAAAGGCAAACACATGAAATTATAGGCACAGGCAAAGACTTCCTAACTGGGACCCCAACAACCTAGAAAATAATAACAAAAATCAACAAGTGAAACTACAATCAAATTAAAAAGTTTCTGTGCAACAAGGCAAACAGCCTGAAGAGACAGCTTACAGAATGTGACACAATCTTTGCCAGCTACTCTTCCGACACAGAAACAGTGTCTAAAATGCCTGAAGAACTCAAAAAGCTCAACACTGAAACAATCAGATAGCCCAATCAATAAAAGGGCAAATGATTTGAACAGACATTTCTCAAAATAAGTACAAATAGCCAGGCATGGTGGTGCAATCCTGTATTCCCAGCAAACCTGTCTCCCAGCATTCTGGGAAAATCAAGCAGGAGAATGGATGTTCAAGCTTAGCCTGGGCAACTTAGTGATTTATGAAGATCTTTTCTGAAAATTTAAATTAATTAAGTAAATACATAACTGACTGAATGAGAAGTAGGTCCAGTGAAGGCCTAGGTTCAATCCCCAAGACCACCAACATAAATAAATACCTCAAAAACTGGAAATGTAGTATATAAACACAATAGATAGCCAACAGGCACTAGTGGGAAAATGCTTTTTTTTTTCCTTTTTATAATAATAGTAATAAAAAGCATTTACTTACTTACTAAGAAAAGTCTAGGCTTAGGAGTCAGAATCTTAATTCCAGTGATAGGTCTCACATCTATTAACTAAGGGCAAATTATTTAACTCACTGAACATCAATTTCTTTTCTTTTTGGTACCGGGGATCGAACTCACAACTTCGCACTTACAAGGGAGGCACTTATGGTGCTGAGCTAAATCCTCAGCTCTGAACATCAATTTCTTGATCTAGAAAATGAAGTGAAACACTGATGGCTATAGGATTAAATCAAGGGAAACACACTAAGTGCCATACCATACACACAACCATAATATTAACAAATACCATTTTCAATATTTCATTACTCACACTGGTTGAAATCATTGGTGAACAAAAACAGAGCTAGCCTTTGCTTTCACTATGAGCTAAATTAGACATATCTATATACTGATCTTCCTTTTTTTTTTTTTTGTCCTTTTCCTTTTTATCGGTATCAGGGATCGAACTCCACGACTGCCTGCTTGCAAGGCAGGCGCTTATGCCACTGAGCTAAATCCCCAGCCCCCACTGATCTTCCCTTACTGAGCTCATACAAAGAATCGGCAGCCATTCTCTCTCTAATTACTGGTTACACATTAGACAACACAACTGCTAATTGACATTTTCTTACCCATTTATACTTACTGTCTTATAACTGTGTCCATCCATGAAGAATTTGCTTCAGGAACTTTTAAACATGCCAAAGCTGAAGCTTTTATGATGAAGTCATTGACAGAAATTTTGCTTTTTCCTTCTAACATCTGTAAAGACGAGAAATCATGGTAGTCTGGGATACTAAGGCAAAAAGATACCAAGTTTAAGTCCAACCTGGGCAACTTAGCAACTTGGGGAGACTCTTTCTTAAAAAAATACAAAATAAAAAGAGCTGAGGGTACTCAGCAGGAAAGCTCAGGTTCATTCCCCAGGACTGAAGAAAATCAGAAACCATTTCTTACATTTTCTCCCCAAAGACTGAAACTACATAATCTTGACAACAGGACTAGACGGATGAAAATGTGCAAATGACCTAAGAGGGAAACCAAAACCGGCTACAAATGGCCTGCTAAGCACTGTGCAGGTACACACTACACATGGTTTATCCTCGTTTTCTTTTATCTCAACCAATCTGAAAGCTGGTTCTTCTATTTTTTTGTTTGTTTAAAGTTGGTTCTTTTAAAAGATCAACCAAATGACAACCGCAAGAACAAATGTTTGACCAGAAAAGATTTAAATTCCTAAAATCAAGAGTGAAGAAGTGGACATCACTATCTACATTATACAAATAAAATAATTGGGGGGGGGGCACTGGGGGTCAAACTTACAATCCTGTGCTTGCCAGACAGGCACAAGCCCCTGAGCTAAATCCTTGGCCCTAAATAAAAGGAATTTTACATCTTAAAATACGGCCAAAACCATAATGCCAACAAACTAGCTAACCCATATTAAGTGAACAAATTCCTAAGAAGATACAAACTAAAATTGAACCAATAAAAAATAAGAACTCTTAAGTAAACTTAAAACTGGTAAAGATCAATTTTAAACTACCACAAAGAAAAGACTAGAGCTACATTATCTCACTGGTAAACTCTGTCTTCATCGTTAATTCTAGCCAGCATAGACTACACAGCGAGATCATTGTGACAACAACTTATTCCCCCAAAGATCAAGAAAACTGGGGCGTTCACTGTGGCCACGTTTGCTCAGCATCGAACTAGAGTAGCTGGGCATGGTGGTGTACATCTGCGGTCTCTGCACTCGGGACCTGAGGCAGGAGGGTCACCCCAAGTTTAAGGTGAGGTACATGGTAAGTTCTAGACCAACCTTGACTACACAGTGAGATAATGAGACCCTGACTAGATAAAAAAAAGTTAAAACTGTAAAACATTTACAAGGAAACATAGGTGTATGTCTTCATAACCCTAGATTAGGCAATGTATTTCAGATATAATGCCAAAAGCAGAAAGAGCAAAACACATAAGCAACGTAATATTACAACTTTTATGCCTTAAAGGATACCATCTAAAAGCAAAGATAATCTACATAATAAGAATGTTTTCATAGGAAGAACCAACATAGTAAAAATGGCCATACTTCCAAGATTGCTATACAGATTTAATGCAATTCTGATCAAAATACCACTAGCATACCTCATAGGACTAGAGAAAACATTCCTAAAATTCATTTGGAACAAGAAAAGACCTAGAATAGCAAAAGCAATTCTGTGCAACAAAGGCAAGACAGGAGGTATCACAATCTTTGACTTGAAATTATACTATAAAGCTACTATTATAAAATCAGCAAGGTACTGGCAAAAAAAAAAAAAAAAAAAAAGACCTGAAGATCAACAGAACAGATTAGAAGATACAGACACAATACAAAGTCACTCAGTCACCATATCTGAGGCCAAACAAAGTTCATTGGAAGAAAGACAGCCTCTTTAATACATGGTGCTGGAAAAACTGGCTCTCCATATACCAAAGACTAAAACTAGACCCATGCCAATCACCATGCACTAAAGTCAAAATGATCAAAAATCTGAATATTAAAATAGAAACACTAAATCTACTAGAAGATAAAGTAGGGAGAAATCTTAAAGACATGGGGTAGGCAGAGACTTCATGAACAAAATCCAAACTGCATAGGAAATACTTAAAAGAATCTGGGATCTTATCTTATTAAAAAGCTTTTGCACATTGAACGAAATCACCAACGGAGTGAAAAGCCAATGCACAGAGTAGGAAAGTATTATAGCTAATGATCTCTCAGATAAGACTTCTACCTAGAATATATAAAGATTGAGAAAAAAAAAAATCAGACCTCCCCAAATTTAAAAGACCCAATCCAAAAATGGGCATCTGAAACGAATACCTGAATGAACCTGCCAAAGTTCCAACTAAATTTGTAAGAGGGATGGGGATATAGCTCAGCACCCTCCCCAAAAAATTGAGAAAAGAGCTTGAATATTTTGACAATAAAAGTATGCCATCATCCTTAATCCCTAGTTTATTTACAAAGATCTGCTGCTATTTCATTTATGAACTAAGTCATATATTGCACATTTTGAGAGCCATTCTGGGTGTAGAAAGCTAAAGCTAGAAATGAACGAGTGAACAAAATGGAGGAATTCTGTCCTCATGGAGTGTACGCTCTAAATAATAAGTAAAACATACCGACTACGTTGAGTGCTGAGGAGAAAAATAGAGAAAGAGAACCAAACAACTGGTAGAGGGAGAGGAAGGTGCAATTTTAGAATAATGGTGACTACAGAAGGTGATAGTCAAACCCTTAAGGAGGCAAAAGAGAAAGCCATGTGGATACAGGGCTTCATACAGGAGAACACCAAGCACAAAGAGCCTCGGTAGGAGTATCAAGGGACAGTGGGGCAACCTCAGTGTCTGCAGTGGACAGAGCAAGTGGAAAATGTAGGAGACGAGGTCAGAGGTTATAAATACCCTGGGGAAGGGACCGTGGGCCACTATAAGAAGTTTGGCTTTTATTTTTCACTTCCTTGAAAATATCTTTCATGTCCCTCTCACCCACTCTCTTTTTGTTGTTTTGCTTTCTGAGATAGGATCTTGCTGTGTAGTGCAGGCTGGCCTTGAACTCACAGGGTAGCCCAGACTGGCCTCAAACTCACAGTGATCCTCCTGCCGCAGCCTCCCACATGCTGGGATAACAGGCACACACTACCTTGCCTGGTTAGCCCTTCTTAAAATACTATTACTTTACTACTCAAACATAAAATGGTTTGTTAGTGTTCAATTCATCAAATCCAAATTCCCCTCCTTTAAATTAAGATCTTCCTTCAGTGACTGCCTGTGGATCTGCCCTAAGAAAGGTAATCTCTCTGACACCAGCAATATCTAGTTTCTTTTGCAGTGATGCTGGTGCCTGATCCCGGAGGCCTGCACATGCTAGGCAAGCACTATGAGCTACACCCCTGCTATTTATTTTTATTTGGGGACAAAGCCTCACAAAATTGCCCAATCTGACCTTGAACTCACAGGTCTGGGATTGGGTCATGTGCACTCAGCTTATTTTCATTTTCAAAAGCACTTTCTCTTCATAATACTTCCACTCATGAAATCTCTTCAACAGGTTTTAGTCTAGCAAAGTCACTATGATGAGATACTTGAGTTTCGTAATAGGTAAGAAACATTCTATGTGCTCTGTATGTTGCCAATGCAAACACTTTCCATTTTTCACGGTCCAACCTACTTTCTCCAATACCGTTATGAATTCCCCAGTATGCCCACTGGTCTCCCCCTGTCTGAACTCCCAAGATATTTAACTGATCTACAAATGAATGTTTTTACTGTAATAAAAATTGCATCCCTTTTTCACATGAATTATCTCAACTAAATTATAATCTCATAGTGAAGAAAGACATATCCACACTCTCTGTGCTTGCAGAAGTGCCTTGTGCCAAACACTAAGTAGGAATGCGGTGCTTTGCCCTACATACAGAGCACATAGAATGTTTCTTACCTATTATGAAACTCGAGTATCTCACCACCGTGACTTTGCTAGACTAAAACCTGTCTGTGGCAAAGACAAGTTTAAGTGACTTTAATCACAGAGTTGGATGATGAAAATTGGCTAGATGTTCTCTGCAAGTTAAAGTTAAGACAGCCTGGCATGGTGGCAGAGGCCTGAAGTCTCAGCACACAGGAAGCTGAGGTAGGAGGATTGCTGCAAGTGGCCAGCCTGGGCTATGTAGTGAGTTCAAGGCCAGCCTGAATTACACAGCAAGACCCTGTCTCAAAAAATTTAAAAAAAAAAGAGGCTATTCATTTCCTACCCCTAACTGATGTACTACAACCAAATACACAGGTGAAAATATGAATGCTGAGCTTGGCGTGGCAGCACATGTCTGAATTCCAAGCACTCTGGAAGGCTGAGGCAAGAAGTTCACAAGTTCAAGACCAACCTAGGCAATTTAGTGATTTAATGAGACCCTGTGTCAAAATAAAAATTTTAAAAAGGCTAGGAAAGAAGCTCAGTGAGAAGGCCCTACCTTCAATTCCCAGCACTACATAAAAGCAAGCATTTAGTTAGGAAAGATAGAATTTTCATAAGGTGCACAGTTGGAATCTCCAAAAGCATTACCTTATTAAGTTCTTTCCGAACCAACAAAACTTCTCCCATATTTACATCAATAGAAAGGTAATAATGAGGTATAGTCTGCTTTGATTGCATTAACCGCTGTGCAATAACCTGAAAGCAAAGAGATTAAAGTCAATTATCGCTGAGGATACAGCTCACTGGCATAAGCACCTGCCTGGAAAGTGCAAGGTCCTGAGTCCCATCCCTGGCATAAAAAAAAAAGTCAATGATCTTAAATTGACAGAAGACTTTACTTAATTTACATCTCGGTTTACTGCTTCACTCTGTCCCCCAGTAATACTTACCTCAAGCATTATCAGAATTGGATGATGAAGAATTGCACCCTACCTCTGCACCTGCTAACAGATTTAACCCAAACAGTGGTTTGCATCCTAACTATTCGCTTGACCAAGCCAAACTTCCCTTAAACTAAGTCACCTAATAATCCCACTGAAAAGGTTTCCACCAGTGCTTTAAACTATTAACAGAATTAAACAGTCGGAGTAAAGACAGTCCGAAAGCCCTGGCTCCAGACCGCGGCAGTGCACTTACGCGCCGAATGTTGCTGACGGGGACATCCGTGAAGACCCCTGTGGGAACTGGTGCCACTCCTGGGCTGGGCGGAGGCACGGCAGCTGCTGGCGCCTGTGGGAGAAGGACAAGCTCTTAGCAGCTACCACTCAACCTTGTCAAAAGCAACTAGGAAGGACTGCCAGCGACCTTATAGATGGCAAAGGGAAAAACATTTGGAGAAGAATGGCTAGTTCTGGAAGGAACTGGATGATACAACTTATTTAAGAGTTTGTTTATAATTTTTTTACTTAAAATTCTGAAGTCATGTTTTTGGTTGTCTTGGGGGGGGCGGCTCTGAGACAGTTTTTCTACATAGTTCAGGCTGGCTTTGAACTCACTATATTCCTCAGGCTGAGCTCCAGCTCACAGCAATTCTCCTGCCTCTGCCTCCCAAGTATTAGAATTACGAGCATGCATCACCACAGCCTGTATACTTGTTTTTGTTTATTTTGAGACAGGGTGTTTCAGGAAAAACTACCCAGTTTTCACACATGTCACTAAGATGTATCATGTTTGATTTTGTGTGTACTATGTATGAGAACACAAATACCTCAGTAGTGTTAGACCACCGGAATTAGAAAAAACTGTTCAAGTTGAAATAATGTATGAAATAGTCTAAAGAACATGGACTACGAAGCACTTTGCAGGGGTAACTACAAAAATCAGAGCCAAACAGAACTCACAGGAGCAGCTTTCGGAGGCACGAAAGAGTCAATGTCCTTCTTGATGATTCTGCCATCTGGTCCCGTCCCTAAAAGAAAACACGTGAGCTCCACACACAGCACAGCAGGTCGCCAGAAGCCAGGATTGTGACCAGTGAAAGGTCTGGGGGTTTGTCACCAAACGTACTGCGAAGGGACCACAGCTCAGCCCTGCTACTGTGGCTATTCTGTTATCCACCTCTCTTTTGTCTAATTAGATTGCATATTATTAAAAATTTCTTACTTTTAAATTGGGAATTACTAACAGGATAATGCTGAGGACAATTTATACTTCTAGAAGAAAAAGTACAGGCCAGGGATCTAGCTCAGTGGCACAGCAACTGCCTGGCAAGTCCAAGGTCCTGAGTCCAACTCCCGGCACCAAAAAAGAAAACTAGGGTGGGAATGGGGGATGGTGGCAGAATCCTATAATCTCAGCACTCAGCAGCACTCAGGAGGCTGAGGCAGGAGGATCACTGTGAATCAAGGCCAGCGTAGACTACAAAATGAGTTCAAGGCTAGCCTGAACTGCAATGTGAAAACCTGTCTCACAAAGATAAATAAAATGAACGAATGAATGAAAATTAGCTGTCCCTTTCTGGATACCTTAAAAAAAGAATCTACCTTTTCTGAACCTTGAAACCAGTTGTCACTCAGCCATAAAGGATTCCCGTATGCATGGTTAATATACAGGATAATTTCTCTGGACAAACTGGGCAAGTCAGCTATCTCACCCATGACAGCACAAATTTAATCATAATTCCGTCTTCAGAAGCTTTCACTCCCCGTGCCTTCGTCTGTGTTTTTCTGTACGGGGGACTGAACCCAGCCCTTCGCACTGCGCTGCCTCCCCAGCCCTCTCCTGGGACGGGCCCTCACTACGTGGCTCAGGCTGGGCTCGAGCTGGTGCCCTCCTACCCGAGTCCCCCACAGTGCTGGTACTGCAGGCATGTGCCACACCCGGCCTATGTCCTCCTGTGTAGCCTCGACCTTTCAGAGCTTCCTCACAGTGGAACTCAGCAGGCCACGGCAGAGGCGATGGAGGAAGCAGGTACAATGCACACAAGAGGAAGCCCTTCAAAGGCTTCTCAACAGGTTTCAATCTATTGCTTTTCAATTAATTTTAGACCCAAGGAAGTAATCCTGACCTTGAATTCTAACCAGTCTCAGAACGTAGTTATTATAATACCTTTTCCACTGACCCACTTTGAGAAATAATTTGAGCAGACTGATTCATCTTCCCCCCGTGGCAGACTTTGAAAAGGATCTCAGTGTGTGCAGTTTTTCCCAATCCCTTTCTTTCACTGAGACTGCTGAGCTGGCCAGGACCGTTGTCCTCACCAGGAGCTCTCGAGCAGACGTGGCAGCACTCCACCAGGTTTCCAGCCTCGTAACACAGGAAAACCTTAACCCCCTGTGACTGGCTGGGCCAGACACTACATCGGGCAGCCCTTGCGAGAGGAAGGGATTACTTGTTATTCTTGGGATTTCCTGACTGAGAGGCACGAGCTGAAATCTCACTTCAATCTTTCTCCCTAAGAAAGCACAAGAGGAACTCAGAAAGCGACGTGGCACAAAGGCAAGGATCCTGAACGAGCAGTACGCTTACAGGGTTCTTGCTAAACACAAACACGACAGATAACACCACAAATAAGACAAACTAACTACAATGGCTCAGTCTCGTGTGGTTTTCATTCTCGTAGTCAGCATGCTTATAAAACCAGCCCCGCTCACAGGAATGTGTAAAAACAGAACGAGACACTGACGCGAACAACTCGTTGTACCAGGGAAGTAGTCATACATGGAAATACATGACTACGGAAACGCTGAGCATCAGGGGACAGGCCTTCCCACAGTATCTCCCTAAGCCACATTCTGGTCAAATATGCTAAGCAGTCTGTCCCTCTAGTGAACTGTCCCTTAGTTCTTCCCTAAACGGAGCAATTTTTTTCTCTTTTTTACCTCAAGCTGCCCAGAGTTGCCAGGGTTGAACACAGGCGGAATGCCACCTCCTCTTTTTCCACAGCACCCCTAAATCCTCCTCTTCTCACAAACCTCAACTCCTTTTGAATTCATACTGTCTGGCTTGTTCTCATCCAGCAATTCATAATTATTCCAGCTCATTCAATCAACATGCGTCCTGCCTGTGTCCTTTTGGGAACCACAATCTGCCCAATACCCAGACTTCTAAATTTTTATCTGCTCAGCTCCAACTCTTCCCTTCCACCCAAAAGAGCCCAACTTCAAAGCCAAACTGATACTGAAGTATCTCTGAAACTTGAAACTTAAGCAACTGTCTCTGACTGCCATTCCTGTGGTATAATAAAAAATATGTATGGTCCTAGGCCAAATATAGTGGCACAAACCTATAATCTTAGTACTTAGCTACTTAGCAGCTTAGGCAGTAAGCCAAGTTCAAGGCAATCGTGGGGAAAAAAATTTAAAAGGAGGAGACAGCTCAGCTAGACTCAACATTTAGCTATCCCAGGAGGTCTTTGTTTCAGGATCCTGGCATGAACTCCAAAAGCCTCTGGGGCTGCCCGAGTGATAAGAACTCTGTTATTTACACGTCTCTTCACAGCACACCAGATCTTATGCTGACAGGTCACTCAGAGTAGAGCTCAGAGATAGCTCCTAAGACACACAACGGTCAGTAGAAAGACCACATATGTAATTAAAGGATGCTAACTGTTACTTCCTTTCTGCCATTCTGTCCCCTCTGCTTCCCAGCCCCACACGTGGGAAGGGAAAGAGGACTGGAAACTCAGTTCAGTGACTAATGACAAAGACAGATGATTCAATCATGTCTCTGCAGTGCTGTATCCATGAAAATAAAAATTCTTAAACAGTGAGATGAGGAGAGCCCCCAGGCTGGCGAGCGACACGTCACTGTGCTTAGAGGACAGTATGCCCCATGGGCCCCTCCTTATTATATCTCCCCCAATGTGTCTCCACCATCTGGCCTTCTCTGAATTTTATCTTTTATAAGCCAGGAATAGTAAGAAGTCCTTTCCCAGGTTCTGCGAGGCATTCTAGCAACTTACCAAACCTGAGAAGAGGGTGTGGGAGGCCCTGAGTAACAGCTAACGAGTGGGGCATCAGGTAGCCCCCATCACTTGCAACCGGGGACAGGCCGTATCGACACTGGATCAAACCACTGACACCAGCTGGCGTCACAGAAAGGACGGTTATAAGAAAAGAATTCCAACACTGATTTGGTGTCAGGAAACACCACACGACCACTGGCGCTCGAGCCCACTCAGGCCAGACTACTGCCTTCTTTCACTGCAAAACCCCTTTGACTTCACAAAGACTCCGCAGACCCTTCTGCTCTACCGCGTGCTTTCTCTCGTTTTCACTTTCCTCCCAGTTTACTCTCCTTGGGTTACTGCTACGACCACTCTCTTTTTTTTTTTGTCTTTTTCGTTTTTATCGGTACCAGGGATCGAACTCACGACCGCACACTTGCAAGGCAGGCGCTGTCGCTAAGCTAAATCCCCAGCCCCTACAACCACTCTCTTGCAAAACACTAAAACTGTCTCCTCAGTGCCAGTACCAGGAGTTTAACGTTGCTAGGGAAAGAAGCACAGAGCTGGCTGACGGTACTATAAATTCAGAACCACAAAGCTAAAAGGATACGAAAAATCATACATAAATTCAGTTGTTTCCTTTAAATTCACCTTCTCAAACTTCGAGGAGACTGCTTTACAGTCTAACCCCAACACTGCCCAGAGTCACTTTCCAGCTGACCCCGTCACTTCATACTTCACTCATTAAGCAGCTGCAGACAGAGGAATGCTCCTTACAGTCTACCATCGAACTGCTACATCACCCTCCATTGTTCTCTGCCCTACAGATGAAATGTCCTCAGCCCTTGTTAAGGCCAAGCCTGTTCTTCCCTGCATTCTCAAGAATGTGATCCCTGCCAAAACATCCTGCCACACAATCTGCCGTATCACCCACTTACCACTTCCTATTAGACTGCTGATTCTCAAGGAGGGCAGCTGTAGGGACACCTGGCAATGGCTGAGGACGTTTCTTGCTGTCAGGAACAGGGGTTGTTACTACCCTCCGTGACATAGGGACCGAGAATTCTGGTAATACTTTATGGTGTTCTATAACTTCTGTGAAGATGTGCACAGAATGCGTCTCCCACAACAAAGAATTTCTGGCCAAAATGTCAACAGTGCCAGCTGAGAATCTCTGTACCAGAGCTGTTCTCCTGTTGCTAGCCCTCTACAGCCCTCTCGAGTCCACAACCCACTAAAGCTACACTTTACTTCTGTGCCTTTCTTCAGAGCAAATATTCTCCGGTGCTGTCTCTCCCTCTTCCCTCACCCTCTACCTACCCAGGCTGGGGTCCAGGGTTTTGCTATGCAGTTCAGGCTGCCCTTGAACTCACTCTGAAGACTAGGCAGGTCTTGAATTCACAGCAATCCTCCTACCTCAGCCTGCCGAGTGCTGGGATTACAGGTGTGCACCACCACATTTGGCTCCATCCCACTTTTGCAATTATTACTGTCAAATCCCCATATTTAATCCTTGGTAAAAGACTGTTGACTTTAGGTTTTAAAAAATGTATCTTAAAATATCCATTTTGCAGTGGGGGTTACTGGGAATCAAACTCAGGACCTTGCGCTGGCCAGGCAGGCACTGTGCCGCGGAGCTCTATCCCCAGTCCTCCATTTCTTTTTACACATTTCTGTTCTCATCGCCTTTGTCTAACCATCGACATCAGCTCCAGCCAGAACATTTAAACAGGTGTCTGGCTCTCACTTAATCTATTTCCTTAGAGAAAATCAGCTTTTAAAAATGTACATTGTCGAGCTGGGCACACTGGTACACACCTGTGATCCCAGCACTCTGGAAGGCTGACGCAGAAGGATCACAAGTTCAATCAGCCTGGACAACTTAGTGAAACCCTGTCTCAAAATAAAAAATAAAAAAGGCTGGGGATGTAGCTCAGTACAAAGGCCTTGATATAATCCCTACTAACACCAAAAAAAGAAAAAAAAAATCACTTCCTTGCCTGAGTCTTTCAATGATCTCCTGGTTTCCTACTAGACTTTAAATAAAATGTACATTCTTTATCATCCCCTCAAGATCCTCGACGGGCTCCTCTGTTTCTTTCCAACTGCCCTTCCTCCCGCCAGATGCTCCACTATGTTCCTCCACACACCAACTCCTGCGTCAGCCTGGGCGCTGCCCGTTTCTCTGCCCGACACGCTTTCCCCTTCTTCCTGTGGCTGGTCACAGAGCTCATATCTCGGCTTTCACTTCAGATCACCTCATCAGGAAGGACTTCCCCAGCTCAGTGCAGCCTGACTACACACATACCTAGCCTGCTGCTCACTTGTTTATTCCCATGATTATTTCTTTCTTAGCACTCAAGTTATCTAATAATTAAAAAAGTATTACCATGATGGCTAATATCAAGATAGTCTATCTCTGCATGGGTACTGTTTATTTACTTATGTAATCCTCACAATTTATTAGATATTATTTTTATACAGAAATGAAGAAATTGAGATCTAAACGGTCACACAGAATAAAACAGAGGAAACTTTTCTTTGTACTAGGAATTGAACTCAGGGCCTTGTGCTTGCTAGGCAAGTGCTGTGTTACTGAACTACATCTCCAGCCCAGAAAGCTGACATTTAAATTCAAGCATTAAACCCAGAAATCCAAGGCCTTTACGTTAAGCTACATTCCATGCTTTTTTTTCCATTTGAGACAGGGTCTCACTAGACCACTAAGTTGCCCATGCTGAACTTGAATTTCTGATCTTTCTGCGTCAGCCTCCCAGAGCGCAGGAATCAGAGGCATGCACTACTATGTCTAGCTTGTTCACTTAATTCTTTATTATCTATCACACAAGCAACTGAAACTGAAACCTCACCCAACTTCCATGGAAAGGGACTTACCTTTCACTTGAGTAAGGTCAATCCCTTTCTCTGCAGCCAACTTCTTTGCAAGAGGGCTAACAAATATCCTTCCCTTAGGCCCAGCAGGAGTAGCTGGTACCCCAGGAGCGCCTGATGGTGCAGGGCTTACAGGCTGGGGGCTTGGAGGAACAGCGGCCACCTTTTGGAAAAAGTTACAAATTATTAATTCATAACTGAGCAGACTGCTCAGAAAGATTAAGAGTTTAGATTTTATGAAATTAAAAGCTATTTTAATTACATAATGTTCATTTTTCTCCTCCAGAGGGCATAATTCACTTTTTTCTCTGTTTAATCACCATAACATAGCTATATGAACAGCACGAATACTCTATGTCAAAGACAAAGCAAAGTCATCTTACTCCATGATGACAAGCAGAGGTGGGCATTTTAATACAGCTGACCAGCACGTAAGATCCTTACAGCTTTTCTGCACTGTAATCTTGTGCCATTTTCTTATTCTTGTTAAATTCATCACCAACATGGTTTTTGTGTTTACTTAACCTAATTTCAAAATACAAAATTATTCAAAGTTAAAAGTATCTTAAATAAACCAGTACTGCCACTTAGCAGCTCTCCATGCATGTGGGGCAGCTAGAAATCAAGTTGTCTCTGATAGCAGTGTCTAAATTCACAATTCTAATACCTGCAGAAGCTTCAGTACAAGTGTTAATTAATTATGCTTGAAGTTAATACACATTCATGGTACAGGTGTACAGTGTACAGTGCAAAGTATACTAAGTCCTATGCAAAATGAGTCATGTCATGTCCAGGTTTCAAAATACTATAAATATATGTGTAACCTACTATAATAAAATACTATATATATATATGACTAAACATGACAGAGTTTATCTAAGGATGTTGACAAAAACAGAAACAAACCCTACCTCATATAAGGATGATATTTACATCCAAAGCAGAAAGAGAACACGCTACTTCAGCTTTGTTCTCAGCCAGACTCAAGACAGCAGACAGAGAACAGCCGTAACTACTGACCATTAGAGGGTGGTACAATGCAACACCACACTCCACATGCTCCCCCAAATGTTAATGCACTATCTTGTTCATTCATCACATCTTGGGCTGGAAGGAACCTAAAATATCACCTGGTCAAATCCCTTTCATTTAGAAATGAACAGGATAAATGTTTTCTTGATTCCAGAAGCATACCTACCAGAGGTGGGACAGCTGGTGGTGCTTGTGGTTTCAAATCAGTGACTTCGGTTGGCCTGTAATCAGCAAATGCTGCTATATCTGCCTCTTTTTCTACAATGATACAAAGTGGGGTCCCTAGAGGAACGTCTCTTGTGCCTTCAGGAACGAGGATCTTTGCCAGATAACCTTCTTCCTGTACTTCAAAACCTTAAACAGAAAAAACAAAACATTATGGAACTTAAAGGCTCCACTATACAAGCAAATCCACAGCAGAGTTTTAAGAAAATGGCTTTCTCAAACCGGACATGGTGGCTCACACCTGTAATCCCAGCGCTTGGGAGGCTGAGGCAGGAAGACTGTTGTGGACTGGGCTACAAAGAGAGCTCAAGGCCAGCCTGAACTGCATAGGAACACCCTGTCTCAGAAGACCAAAAAAGAAAGAAAGAAAGAAACTAAGATAGAAAGAGAAAAAGGCTTTCTCATCCAACTGACTATCTATCCTTACTGCAAACCATTTAGCCTCTCTGGGGCAAGGTGCAGTGGTGCACCGCTACAATGCCAGCACTCGTGGAAGCTGAGGCACAGAAATGATAAATTCAAGCCCAGCCCCGGGCAACTCAGAAACTTGGTGAAACTTTGTCTCAAAATAAAAAATAAAAAAGCACCTTATAAATAAGGTCCTGGGTTCAATCTTCAGTACCAGGGTAAAGACTAAGGATAACTATAATACAGTCAGCTCCCCCTCTCCACAGCTTCCACATCCTTGCATTCAAGCAACTGTAGTTCAAAACTATTAATTTTTTGCTGACATGTACTATGTAATTAGGTCTACAATGGTTGCATTTATGCTGAACATATAGATTTTTGTCTTTTGTCATTATTCCCTAAACAATAGAGTATAATAAGTATTTATAGAACATTTGTGCTGTATTAGGTATTATAAGTACCTAGAAATGATATATGGTACTTGGTGGGAGTTAGCAGCATAGCTTAGACAAACAAGTCTTATTTAGCTCACAGAGGGGCCTGAGTTTAACTGCCAGCAAAATACTATAAATATATGTGTAACCTACTATAATAAAATACTATATATATATGACTAAACATGACAGAGTTTATATAATGATGTTGACAAAAACAGAAACAAACCCTACCTCATATAAGGATGATATTTACATCCAAAACATAAAACAAAAACATACAGGCAGTGTATACAGATTATATGTCACCTTGCAGGAGCTACGTGAATATCTGCAAACTGGGATACGGGAGATCCTGGAACCAATTCCCCATCCCATTTGAAGATACCAAGAGCTGCTTATACGTCTCTCAGAGTATAACGGATGTCATGAATTTAAATGAGTTAATACTTTCCAACTACTTGGAAACAGTATCTGGTACAAAATAAATAAACATAGTTGGCCCTCCCATTCCAAGAGGCTATAAATATTTGAAACAATCTGCATCAGCATTGAACATTTACAGACTTTCCATGGATACTGGGACATACATAGCTGTTAATTGTAACTATGAGAGATTACAGTTATTAGTTCTGAAAGTTATTAAAAACATCTCTGTCAAGGGTGGTAGTACACTTAGGAGGAGGATCACAAGTTCCAGGCCAGCCTGGACTATTTAAAGAGTTCAAGACTAGAACTGGGGATTTACCTCAGCAGCATAAGCACCTGCCTGGCAAGTGCAAGGTCATGAATTTGATCCTCAGTAACAACAACAACAACAAAAGAGTTCAAGATTGGGCTGAATTACACAGCAAGATTGTCTCAAAAAGGCTAGTCCCCATGCACATTTACAGGACTCCAAGACACCATCAGGTGTACTACTAAAGACCAGAACAACACGGAGGTCATACGAAAAACCATCAAGCTAGGCAGTGACATGCAATAGCAGCCCTGGGAGGATCCCTGGAGCTCTGCAAAGAGTTCTAATTGGTATTACACCTATTATTTCAATGTGAACCAGGCACGGTGGCACATGCCTATAATCCCAGCTCTGAGGAGGCTGAGGTAGGAGGATTGTTGCAAGTTCAAGGAGCAGCCTGGGCTACAGAGTGACCTCAAGTCCAGCCTGAATTACATAGCAAGACCCAGTCTCAAAAAACCGCCCCTCCCAAAAACTTATTTCAATGTGAAGAAATACAGTATTGTTGTGATTTCTATGATATTTAAAATCTATATTTGGCTACTACTTTTCTTGCAAAAACTCAAACACTTAGAGCCGCAGAAGTAAAACTAAAAGAAGCTAGCTGGGCATGGTAGTGCACACTTATAATTTCAGCATACAGGAGGCTGAGGCAAGAGGACCCTGCAAGTTTGAGTTCAGTATGGGCAATATAGTGAGTTCAAGGCCAGTAAGACCCCGTCTCAAAAAAAAAAAAAAAAAAAAAAAAAACTAAAAGCTGTCAGAAGTCGAGCAAAGTAGCACACACTGAGAGGTTGAGGCACAAGGATCCCAAACTGAAGCCCAGCCTGGACAACTTAGTGACTTACGGTGACATTATCTCAAAATAAAGGAAAAAAGGGGTGGGGATATAGCTCAGTGATAAGGCCTTAGGTTCAATCCTCAGGACAGCAAATAATAATAAGAAGAAGAATAATAGGTTATTGGAGAGAATAAGTTTTGTCTTTCAGGATTTTCTTGGGTGGCAAATTACGGAGCAGAAGCAAGAGATTCATAGTATCTATCAATATCTACAAATATTATCAAGAATAAGTGATTGCCATGTGGGGTTTGTTTCTAAGCATAAAAACAAATCAAAAAGAGTAAATGGAAATGTGACATATACAAACAGACATACTGTATGTTATTCTCAAAATATGAAAACAATCTACACTTTGGTTTCAGTTTCCTTTCAAAGTCATCTTAAATTCCTTGGTATTCTCCTGCCTTGGAGGTGATTTTCTCCTCTTTCCTTTGCCCAGTTTACTCAATAGCAATTCTGGTATAGCTTTTCAGTCACATGAAAATAAAGCCAAAAAGCAAACTGGTCTAAGAATAATCTCTAAGTTGACATATCCTTGATTCATTAAGTTAAGTATGGAACTGACAAATCCAAGTATGTATATATTTATCATAGAGTATCTCACTTCAGAAAATTAATCCTACGAATTATAAAACTGTGACATTATCGCCCACCCATTGCAGAGAATGGCAGTCCTCTTCCTGACTGGAGTAAGTGCCTCAACCATTAAGAGCGGAAGAAGTCTCACCTATAGTGGCCTTGTCAGTCTCTATCTCCGCCAGTAAGTCTCCTTCACTTAGCTTCTCACCCACTTTTTTTTCCCATCTCTGAACGGTGCCCATGGTCATGGTAGGAGAGAGGGCAGGAAGAAGTACCTATAGAAACAAGTATACATCACTGCACAAGGCAGAAAGCACCACACACAAAAGCACTCCGGAAGCTTATACTACCACAGAGCACAGTGACTATGACAACCAAATGCCCATCACGGAAAAAGCAAAGTACCCCAGTAGCTTTTCCCATCAATTAAACCCCTCAGATCTTAAGCAGTATATCTCAACTGCAACTTATTCTGACATTCTTTCTAAAGCTAAAAGCAATGGGGGGAAAGACTTTAGTCAAAATTAATTTCCGCAATATATACCTAATCACAGCATCTTTTCATCTTTTTCTAACACTTAGGTTAGAACAAAATTTGTCATTTTCACAGAACAATCTTTTCTTCTGTGAAAAGCTAAGGAAATCTTAACATTTTGCCATGCTCTATATTTGGCATCTATTTCTCTTTTCATTCATAGGAAACCACATTTATTCCATACTTCCTAAATATAAATCAGTATTGAGAACTGTTCTTTGGTGAGTACAGTCAGCAACTATACTACAAACTACAGAAAGAACAGATTGTTTTCACTACAAGAAAGTAAGGAAATGGTACGTTAATTTAGCCATTCCACAATGTATACATACTTCAAAATACTTTGTAATGAAAAGTTTATAGAATTTTTATATACTCAATTAATTATTTTAAAAAGTAAAATGTAAAAAATAACTTTTTGGTGCTAGAAATTGAACCCAGGGATTCAAAAATATGAATCAGTACTCTACCAATGAGCTATACCCTCAGTCCCCCCAAAATTGTTTTTATAATAGGCATTTCTACTCCAACAAAATGGAAACATGAGATTAGTTGATATAAATTTAAAATTGCACTCAGCAGGCTGAGGCAGGATGATTGTTGCAAGTTTAAGACCAGCCTGGGCTACAAAGTGAGCTCAAAGCCAGCTTGATCTGCAGTGAGACTGTCTTAAAAAGACAAAAATAATAAAAAATAAAATAAAATAGCTTCCCTGTTTCTACAGCTTACGTGTCTACTGAACTTGGATGTTTTTCACTTACAGAGTTCATCTGCTGTCTACAGTTTTTTGTATCTAATTAGCAATAGCCTTATCCTGAATGAAAAATAATTTCAATCTAGAAAAGTAAAACTAGACAGAACATTCTTTTAAAATGGTTTTCTCAATTGGGCATGGAGGTGCGTACCTATAATCCCAGCACACTGGGATACTGAGGCAGGAGGATCACAAATCTGAGCAACTGAGCAACTCTGTGATTTAATAAGATCTTGTCTTAGACTAAAAATAAACGGGGGGAGCGGGAATGTAGCTCAGTGCAAAGGGCCTCAGTTCCACTCCTAGTACTAAAAAAAGTTTTCCTTGTTCAGAATTTGCAATCTTCACCTGCTTCTGAAGAACTAGTGGGGCCAGTAATCGCTATACAGTCACCTAAATCAACCCTAACACTTGCATACAATGCCATAAGGTATGTAGCAATGAGGTTCTTAATATGACATAATTTTCTGAGTGAGATGAAATAACTGCGTGACCTAACACCAAGCAAACTTTCATCATAAGTAATTACTAACATAAATGTTACTAACAGACCATGACAGAAACATTATTGCCAAAGCAAATAATTTCTACACAAATATACCAAGTTAAAGAAAGTTCAGGTCTTAATCCTTTAGAAAAAGTATGACTAATTTTTTACGTACTTGCAAAATCAAAAACACATAAACACATAGACAACATTTTTTTTTTTTTTTAATTTTTTTTTTTTTTTTTTTGTCTTTTTCGGTACCAGGGATCGAACTCACGACTGCCTGCTTGCAAAGCAGGCGCTTATGCCGCTAAGCTAAATCCCCAGCCCACACATAGACAACATTAATATCTACCAAACTAATTTGCTAGAAACTGACTTAAGCTAATAGAATCAACAGAGATTTCATTTCAGTCTTCGCTTGGTTTCAATGCTATTTTATATGTCTATTCCACACATATTCTTTATTGTCCTTTTTTTTCCTTTATAAATACTATAGAGTAGTTTACTCACTTTTGAAAACACACCACAATATGTCAAAGAAAAATACTAACTGGGGACTTTCATTTAACAGACAGAACCTAAGGCCTACCATAGACTATTTGTACCCAGAATATTATAAGTAAAAATCATTCTCAAAATCTGTAAAGAAATATTCTTGAGAGAGAAGCATCAAGCATTATCCTCTGTTCAATACTGAGACTGAGGAAGGTTAAAGAGATTATACTCACATACCTAGAAATAACAACTAAGAATAAAAGTGTTCAATTTTCATGGATAAACACATAATCCTAAATGATAAGAGCTTGCCACATTCAATGCCAGTTTCCAGGATTCAAAAGCTAAGTACAAAATATATACAAATAACTAATTGGCTAGATCAGTGGTGGTAAATCTATGGAACGTGTGTTATTACGTTTTACTTTCAGGAAACAAGATGCCAGTATCTGAGTTGTTTTTTCTGAACTAAAACCTCAGATTTCAGGTCTAATTGCAGTGTTGGCACTCCATGATAAATAAGTGGGTTTTGGGTTGCAGTTTGGGCACTCGGGATGTAAAAGGTTCACCAACACTCAGATACTAAGCCTCACCTGCATGTGAGGAGGATACGAGCTACCAGGAGCCTGAGGAGAAGGTGCAGGCGGCGAAGCGGCGGCTGTGGAAGTGGGTGCTGGAGCTGCTTGTGGGGTGGGTGCTGCAGAGGAATCCAATGTGTAATTTTTAAAGGCCTCGATATCCTCAGGCCTAAAAAAGCAAAGAAAACACAAACGTAAGGGAGTTTTAAAAGCAGATTCAGTTATCATGCATGTCTTCAAAAGTCCTTAATTCCTAATTTCTCAATTATTTATTTATTTAGAAAGACAGAACCTCACTGTGTAGTTCAGGCTGGCCTTTGAGATCAATATGTAACACGGGCTGACTTCAAACTTGCAGCAATCCTCTTGCCTCAGTCTTCCAAGTGCTGGGATTATAGGTATGCACCAACATGCCAAGCTCTCAAATTCTTAAAATACTCTGATAAGCACTCAACTTTCACAAGTAACACAGTTTCTACTTACTTTCCAACTGTGATACAGATGACAGCCCCAACTGGAACATCTCTAGTACCTTCAGCAACAAGTATCTTTGCCATATAACACTCTTCTAGGCTCTCAAATCCAACTGTGGCTTTATCAGTCTCGACCTTTTAACACAAAGCAGTAATGTAGGTTTGCACTGCCATTATGCAGTTTACTAGCATGAATCTAAAAGCCATACAGCTCAACAGTCAAGTGAAGATAAAAACACTACCATAGATTTGACAGGAGTTATTCAAGAACATCTTGAGTAAAAAGCCATTTGGCCAGCTGCTGACAGCTTATCTAACAAATCATCTCTAGGATCAAATTGCGAAAACGTCTGTTTCTTAAGCAAAGAGAATAATTAGCCACTTAGAAAGCCCACTCTGTTCAACAAAGCCAACTCTGAGAACACATTTGCACTGTTAAAACTTACCTCTGCAATTAGATCACCCTCATTGATTTTTTCCCCTTCTTTTTTTTCCCATCGGGCTATGGTGCCTGCCTGCATTGTGGGGGAAAGAGAAGGTAACGGAACCTGAAAGACAAAAAGGAAAAGCACTACAGTTACTTTAAAAGTCTACTTAACTCAGTCTGCTTTAAAGTTTCATTCAATTCAACGCGATGCAGTTCTCTGAGTCCCCTCACACACCAGGCACCAGGGGTACAAAGGGAGCTGCTGCCCATCAGTTCAGGATTTCCAGGGGCAGGTTTCCTCTTCCGCAGTGCTGTCGGTCCAACAGTACGAACCTCAACAGACGTTCTACACACAGCCCCAGTCTGGAGCGCTTCTTTCAATGGCATAGATGAGCGGAAGGGAAGCTCATGCACCGCAGCAAATCTTGGCACTGCACAGGGACGATGACAGATACTGGGAGGACTTGGGAGATCACTGGGACCTCTGAAGGAGGGGTCCCAAGGCCAAAAAGTCGGCCCTGAAGGACACGGGGTCCCAGGGTGGAGGGCTCACCTTCTGATGCGGAGGGAGACTGTAGCAGCGGCGGCCCGGCAATCCCAAAAGCTGCAGCAGCAAGCGATTCCGTGGAGCGGCGCCAGAGCTGGCGCTCCAGCCGCCCAGAGCCCGGACCCCGCCATATCCTGGGGTCGTCGTGCTGTTGGAACGCGCCGGGGCGCGGCTGGACCGCAGGCTCACACGCGGAGCTCCGGGGCCCTCTCGCAAGGCTGTCCACCGAGCTCCGAGTCCTGCCTCCGGGGCTGCCCGATGGGCCCGTCGGGCACAGACGCGCCACATAGTCCCACTGAGTCCCACTCCCCTAACCCTCCACCGTCTCCAGGGTGACCTCTCGGAGAGCGGCGCGCCGCTGCCGTCAGCCACTCCGCGCAGTCGCACGCTGTCGTAAAACCGGCGCCGAAGCCTCACGCCACCCCTCCGCGGGCCGGCATCGGGCGGCCGCGGGGCTCTGCCTGGGCCGGGAGCCGGGCGAAGCGGGTTGGGCCGACGCCGGATGCCCTGGAGGAGTGGGCGTTGCGGCGGGGCGAGCGCGGGCGCCCAGTTGGGACAAAGGAGGCAGAGAGGGGGCTGGAGGGCGATCCCTGTGGAGGCCCCCTAAAGTTAGGACGGCGCCGAAGAGTGGCGAGAGACGTGGCCGAAAGGAAGCGGCTAATGCAGCGGGGAGGATTGGGGTCACAAGAGGCACTGTAGTCTGAAGCGGGGCCGAAGGGAGTGGCCGTGTTCTGAGGAAAAAGCTGGGAAATGAGCCCAACGGCCGAAGGTCTGAACTATGGGAGCCTTCGGCTGGGGGCGGGGTCCTGGAGCGGCGCCCCAGGAAAAAGGGGCCCGGAGCAGCCCGCGGGGCCTTCGGGGGTTCAGGAGGAGGGCGCCTGGCTCCGGCAGATCGAAATTGACCGGGTTTGGGGCCACACCCTGCGCGAGCTGGCCTAGGACACAGAGATTCATGTCAGGCGTGCGGCTGGCCGGGAACAGGAGTAACAGGTTCTGGGGTCAGACAGTGTGAAGGGCAGCCAGGAGGAAGGTACATTCCCCATAGTCCCCCGTTCAGATGCAGTGTAGCAGGGTTAGGCGTATGTATTCTGTGTGTTAAAATACAAGTTTGCAAAACAAATTTGTTGCCCCACCCCCCTGCCCCAGTTCCCCTAGAATCCCTTTAAAAGATACAGTACTGTCACCAGAAGTGTACTGTTAACTACTGTTGGGTGACCATCATGAGTGCACTTAAAGTGGTTAGATGTCAGGTATCACTAGGTTATATAATCTTATGGAACCACCATCTTATATTTGGTAGGTCATTACTAAGCATCATTATGCTTATCACAATTTTTTTAATGTGAGATATGTGACAGGGTCTTCCTATGTAGTCTGGGCTGGTTTTAAATAGCCTGAGACCAACGGCTAAAGCTGCTAGACTGAAACATGCAAACCATTGGGGCCCTGCTCCTGTCTCAGGCGTTGATTCACTGTTGTACCACGGGTCTGATGGGGCCTTCCTCAGCCTCTTTCCTGAGCAGGTCCTAGGACCCAGCTAAACCACCCTCCAGCAGTGCCCCCCAACACCATGTGGCCAGGCTGGGCTTCCAGACCAGCATGGTCTTCCTGGACATTGACTCAGCGGCCAAGTTTACTGGCGCTGGGCCCACCACAGTTGGCATGGCTGGATCTGGGGCTGGCACTGGACCGTGTTTGGCAGCTGGATCATCAGTTATGCCAGGAACCCATCGCTCAACCAGCAACCCTTCTCCTAGGCCACCTTGGACTTCACCCTGTCCGTTAGGCCTTTTCTGTCTGATGATTACCCTCCTCATCCTCTTCACCACGTGTGCTCTGCGGGGTGGCCTCCGGTGCCTGGTGCTGGGCCACCAGTTGTACCTTTAATCAGTGTTTCTCTAAGAAAAATAAATAAAAATTAAAATAAACACAGTATCGTAGATTGGCCTGGACAAGAATCACATTGCATTGTTTTTCAATGTCTCTGGAGTTTAATATAAATAGAAGGAACTCAGTACATGACTTTTGAATGAATCAAAAACTTACAAAATTTGTCTGGTACACTTTTGAACAGTTATCATCTTACAACTAGAAAATATTATTTCTGAGTGGAAGCTTATGCTGCTTTACACGGTCAAGTCCACAGTGTACAGATGGTCAGAGAGCAACAAGAACAAAAAAAAGTTGGAAGCCGAAAGACCTTAACATTTGAGACCATATTCAACCTTGCTAGTAATTAACTTGGAAAATTAAAGCAGTCAGGAGACACTAGTTTGTATCTAACAAAACTGGAAATGTTCAAGCAGTCACCACTGTCTAGACAGTATACTTGAGAATTATAAAATTTCCAGATTAAATGAAAAATATTTGAATTAAAGAATAGCAATTACGTAGACCTTTACATGAGTGACAATTGAGAAAAGCAATGAAATAATAGTGCTTAGTGAAAAGGCTTATACTGTACCCTTCATAAGTAATTATAAAAATGTTTTAACTATTTTGAATTAACTGAAATCTGACCTTGCGCTTGCCACAAGTGCTTGTGCTGCTGAGCTCTGCCTCTGGCCCCTAAATCTTAACACAGTACTTCCACTGCATATCACTTCAACAACTGCATTGAAATTAACCTGTGTTAGACATTATGAGGTGATCTGCAGTCTTAATGTTTACTTGGGTAGGAATCTCTCAAATGGAGAGCTTGCATTTTGACTGTACTTTTGACGTAGGTGTAGCTACATTATAAGGCACAGCCCAAATACTCAAAGGGTGACAAACTAACCCAGGAGAGGCAGGTTAGAGGCAGAAATCAGTTCTGAGAACAAGCTATGATGTCTCCGTGAAGGGAAAGCAGGACCGTAAGACTTGAAAGTGTGAAGTACAAGGAGGCGACATCACTGATAGAAAGTAGGCAGATGCAAAAAGGAGTGGCTGGTAGTGAAAGCTGGTGAGCTGAGTTTTAGACATATTTCACATGATGGTGGAGTAGCCGAATAGTTGAAAATACGTAATCAAAATGGCCAAGTAAATGTACTTAGATCTAAAGATCTAAAGGTTTGGAGATATAGCTAGATATAGATATATCAGTTAAATTGAGTTTTTGTCGATGTCCGCTCCCGGCCGGCAGGAAAGACACACGACAAGGTCTGGCGGTGGTCAGGCTTTTCTTTATTCTCTCCTTATACAGTCTGCCCCGAAGCCTCTACCGGTCCGCTCTCCGCGGCTCCTTCCGTGCTTCAGTCTGCCCCGAAGCCTCTACCGGTCCGCTCCCCGCGGCTCCTTTTGTGCTTCTCTCTCTCTCGGGGGTGGAGGCACTGGCTATATATAGGATTAATAGCTAGGCAGACTACCCTGTGAGGCGGGAACTTAGTGGGGTGATAAGAAACAGGTGCCACACAGGCGGGCTCGATGAGAGGGGTAATCTAGCCCAGGCTTTTGTACTTTCCCACAGGCCTCGCAATCACCGCGTCTGATGACTTGACAGTGCCACGGCTCCCAACATCTCCCCCTATTTTATTTTAAATGATGGCTACGCGCATCGCAGCCCGTCCTGGATAGAGTGCAGAGGCCTATGCCCCGAACTGAGGCCCACCGTAGGCCCTTAGCGTAGACCCTGGTCGGCCGTCCCAGGGTCCACCAAGGCCCTGAGGCCCTCGTCCTTTTTTCTAGGGCCAGGAATGAACCGGACGGAACCTGGTTGCACATAGGCATGCACTCATTTCTCTCCACGAATCCCCTCGGAGAGAAATTTATCTAACAATCCAGCGGCTTTCGAGCGGAACGGGGTAGGGCCTGGCTTAGGTTGAGTCGTGCTGGGGAGGCACGCTCTTACCCGTCATTGACTCACCCACCCTGCTACATGTTGTTGTCTAGGGAGGAGAATGTGGGAAGCCTGTCACTTTTAAACGCGGTCGTAGGCCATGCGAGCGAGCCATGCGTATACAAGGGTAGCACATAGGGGAGCAAGCCGTTCCAGGCCCCCAAAAAGGGATTGTCCTGCAGTTCTTTTAGGGCTCATCTTGTTGTTGGGTCTGCGGTTGGCCTCTGGTGGAACAGGCCTGATCTTCAGTCGAGGGACTTGTCGCGTCAACCTCTCTGGGACCCACATTGGTTCTCGTCCCGATTCCTGTCCTGCAGCTGCAGCACTGTGTAGGAGAATGCAGTCCACCGCCGCGTCTCGGGGTTGATCAATCCCCGTGCAGGCCTCCAAATGTCGATGTCGCTCCCGGCCGGCAGGAAAGACACACGACAAGGTCTGGCGGTGGTCAGGCTTTTCTTTATTCTCTCCTTATACAGTCTGCCCCGAAGCCTCTACCGGTCCGCTCTCCGCGGCTCCTTCCGTGCTTCAGTCTGCCCCGAAGCCTCTACCGGTCCGCTCCCCGCGGCTCCTTTTGTGCTTCTCTCTCTCTCGGGGGTGGAGGCACTGGCTATATATAGGATTAATAGCTAGGCAGACTACCCTGTGAGGCGGGAACTTAGTGGGGTGATAAGAAACAGGTGCCACACAGGCGGGCTCGATGAGAGGGGTAATCTAGCCCAGGCTTTTGTACTTTCCCACAGGCCTCGCAATCACCGCGTCTGATGACTTGACAGTGCCACGGCTCCCAACAAGTTTTGGAGAGGCAACTTTGGGAATTCCCAATTGATTTGGGAATTCCATTTCTTTTAAATATCATTTCTGGCCTAGAGTGATGGCCCATGCTACTTGGGAGACTGAGGCACAAGGATCATTTGAGGCCATGAATTCAGAGACCAGACTGAGCAATGCAGTGAGATCTAATCTATAAATAAATAAATAAATAAATAAAAACGGTAGCTGCTGGATGTAGCCTAGTAGTGTAACTGCTGAGCATGCATGCAGCCCAGGGTTCAATCCATAGCAACACACACACACTTCTGCAAGAGTTTCTTAATGTTTGCATTTACAAATTAGAGACTTACCATGCAGTTTACACTTTCAGGTTTTTGTTTTTGTTTTTTTGGTCCCTCGGATTGAACTCATATGTTGCTGAGCTAAAAACCAGGCCCCATACTCTGAGGTTCTTGTTTGCACATTTATATATAATTTCAAAAGTGCAATACTTGTTAATCCTCTTTGCTAATAATAACCTATTTTGTGTTTACACTAGAAATACCAATAGTAAAATATCTGTAGCAATAAAGTAACCCATATCTACATTCCCCAGACAATAAGTAAACATGCTACCAAGGAGATCACTTGAGGAAATTTACCTTCACTAAATGTAAATGTCTTTATTGGTTAGTTTCAGTCAATAAACACAAAATGATTAATGGGATTTAGTTTGCAAACTCCCTTTTATTCATAATTTGTGTTTTAATTCACAAATCTGTTACATACAAGCAGTTAAAACTGGTTATCACTTAAATAATGAAAAGCCTCTGGTATAACAGTCTTCAGGAAAACATTGTAAAACGGAGAAAACACAATAATAATCTCTTTGAAAGCAATGGTTGCAAACATCCAAGTTTTTAAGAAAATATAACTTTACATATATAGTATTTTAAGCAAGCAATACCTCTTACATAAATTCAGACAACAGAAATATGCAATCATATTTATTTTATGGAAAAATTGAAAATAATTTTAATTATGACCTAAATGCTTAGTCTGCTTAGATTAGATGCCGAATATAAAAGGCATTTCCCTAATTTACACCAGGTCAAAAAGAGATGAAAAACGGTAAGTAGGATTGCCATTACCAAATGTATTTAACTCAGGCTTTAGGGACACGTTGGAAAGTACCTCAGTCTAATTTAGAGAACTGAGCAAGAGGAGAACAGTCTTGAAATTTAAAGTTAAGGAAATAAGCTCTCAACTAAACTAGTGTTTATGGGAAAGTCATTTGCTTTTAGCATAACATGGTTTAGAGATTATTTTATGAACTCTAATAAATATTCTAGTACTTTAGATTTCAAGGGAAAAATACTTTAGAAGTAGCAGAGTAGACTGTCTGTCTCACTGGGGTGCTTCTAGGGGGTAATACTATGAATAACCCTCTTGGCTTGTGAGAGTGAGCCAAGGAAACTTCACAAGGGAATGAATCAGTGCCTACTGCTGAGAAGGAGTATGAGGATCTGGAATGAGGATCACCTACACCATTCACACAAGAGTTACTTACATGACATTATCTAGTAAGGTCAGTTAGCCAGTTCCCATGGTACATGAGATTAATGAACTAAAGCGGGGGAAAGCATTATTCTCTGAACTCAACTTCTGTTTCAATGGGAACACCATGGCACCTCCTGTTCCAAAGAAAGAGATAAAATACAAGGAAGAGGATGCTGAAATTTTTCTCTGATTTAGTATTCTCTGAAAAGATAAATTTTACATAATGGCAAGATTGTTTACTCAGAGAAAATTGATGAGTAACTGATTTAAGAGACAGACATTCAAGAAAAATATTACGGGAATACAATAACAAATTTTGACCTGATAAGCCTCATGCTGTTGTATAGCAAAACACTAAAATTCATGCAACACAGAAATTGGCCACATAAAGCATTTTTCTCCAGACTTCTTGGGTTAAAGAAAAACTTGTTTTCTTCTATTTGCTTTCATAACGTATTATTCTTGCTTATGGCTGACTTCCCCAAATTTTCCCAGCTATTTCTGATGAAAAATCGTTCTTCAGCAGAAGACCAGATAAAGTTACATGAAAAACATCAGGTATCTCTTGAACGCCTGTCTGCATGAAGAACAATCAACTGGATTACAGAAAACTGTTCCTTCAACTAAAATAGCAGGTAGAACAGGACAGAAATTAGTTGCCATTAGTATTCTTGTAATAAAATAAAGCTTGTTCTGAAACCACAAGAGGTGGTAAGAGGCTGTATAAAAGCTACTGGGTTCTCCAGAAAATGGACACAGTATAGAGAATGTGAGAGTATATAGAATGCACGCTTGAGTTATAAAAATAGACATGGTTCTCAGACAAAAAGAAAACAAGTACAAAAGAATTCTCCAAACATGAGCTATTTTTAAAAGACATGTTCATATAAAACAATAAGATGTTATCTCAGTTCCAAAGAGTAGTCTGTTCAAGTGTCTGAAGAGGGGAGATGAACTGAACAGCAGACCGGCCAAGAACCCAAAATGGATCTGTCCTCTCTTCTGTTTGGCAGTGTACGTTGGTGGTCACAGACTGCTTTTGGGAACACACATATGTAAAATGCCTGATTAGTTGTAGTGGTGGATGGACGAATGAGAAAACCCAGATTGTTAAGGAATCTCTGGAAGTTGAACACTTTTAGCTTCTACATTGATGGTGTTGCACATGAGAAATGATTCTAGGTTTCTTTACCCTGAATCAACCCTGCCATTCACAACTCATGCCCCATGCCCCATGGTTTCTGTCGTGCCCTAAAACATCAGCCTAGACTAAGTATGTCATAGAAAGTAACTTTAATCTTAAAGTGAGGAACAGACCAATAACCAGTAATTCATGCTCAGTACTCATAAATCACGAAGAAACACTGAAATCCACGGTCTGCCTCCTTTTAACTGCAAAGGAGAGATACCACGAGCTACAGGAAGGCATGAGACAAAGTCAAGAAGATATGGGTAGCAGCACCTTTCCATACCCGCTTTGATATTAAAGGAGCATTTCACTCCTAATTCCTTTCAAACACAAAGATCATCAGTTCAAAGAAAAATAAATGGCTCTAATATTAAAGAGTCCCAGAGAAAACTAGTAGTACATGAAATATGCCTCAGGGAGGCTAAAGGACAAGTTGCAGAATCAGGTAAGACCGGAAGAAGTGGCCCAAGGTCTTGTGGTTTTAGCATAGTACAGCCCTTTTCCCATCCAGTCAACTAATCAGCACCGTTCATGTCCAATGCAAAAGATTACTGGAGAGTAGCTCTCATCTTTGGTACCACCTCATGAGTTGTTCTCAGTTTGCAGTATCTGCGAAGAAACAGAAAAGCTGGTACCTTTGCCATGTCTGTAAGTACAAATGCTGGGACTCTGACTGGTGCAATCCTTGAGGCCAATTAATTAATACTGTAACACACAGGAGGGATGCAGCCAATCCCCAGGTTCCAGGTAATAGCAGCCATGCCCCCACAGGAGCGGGATCGTCCATCCCCATTGGTTAAGGCCTTCGGTTTGTTGTCCTTGGAGTGGAACAAAACACTGTTCCCATGGACAAGGAATTCCAGATGAATCCATGATCCTCATTTGGACAGGGATTTTAAGTACCAGATATGTCAGGCACAGAGACAGGCCTGGCCTGTGACCTTCACACTTGGAGAAGCTTTGATATTGGCAGCACAGATTAGAAACTTCTTAGTGTACTCTGGTTTTAGTCCCCTTTCCTGAGTGAAGCAGCCAGCAAGTAACCAGACTGCAATCCTCAGGGTTAATTTTCGCCATGGTCTTCCTCCACCCAGGCTACAATTTTTCCTTCCCATCCAGGGATGGCATCATCATCATGGAAAATCTAGGTAAAGAAAGAAACGAAAAGCCACAGTGAAAAAACAGTGATGGGGCTGGGGATTTAGCTCAGCGGCATAAGCCCCTGACTTGCAAGCAGGCAGTTGTGAGTTCGATCCCTGGTACCGATAAAAAGGAAAAAGACAAAAAAAAAAAAAAAAGAAAAAGAAAAAACAGTGATAAAGGCGGGGACTTCCCTAAACAACTGCTGCTAATAAAAATAAGGCCTCGAACATTAAGAACAAGAAAGTGTTGAAGAAACCCCATGGGTCATAGTCTATGTCCCTTTGATTTCATCTCAAAGTTTCAAGTAGTACTTTATATATTTCCAAGTAGTACTTTATATTTTTCAACATTTATGGAATGTTTTTTTTAATCCTGAATACTACTTTGCTCACGAAGACTTATAATTAGTAAATTGTGAATCATAGAGTACTTTGGTTTTCTTAGAGGAAAGCAGTAGGATATACACTTTAAAAATGAGAAAGGCAGTGGGCACAGTTGTGCACAACTGTAACCCAGTATTCAGAGTTTGCCGAAGTGGTATTACAAGTTCCAACCCCTACCCGGGCAATTTAGTGTGATCCTGTCTCAAAATTTTAAAAATAGCCAGGCATGGTGGCACATGATTGTAATTCCAGCACTCAGGAGGCTGAGGCAGGAGGATTGCTGTGAGTTGGAGGCCAGCCTGGGGTGCAAAGTGAGTTCAAGGACAGGCTGAACTGCATAGTGGGAACCTGTCTCAAAAAAGACAAAAAAAAATTTTTTTAATATAATATAAAAAAATAAAATGGGCTGGGGATGCAACTCAGTGCAAAGGCCCTGGATTCTATCCTAGAACTGAATAATAATAATAATAATAATAACAATAATAATAATAATAACAACAACACATAAAAATAAAAAGGAAAATTTTTGGTTCCTGGTACTAGAAAAAAAGGGTTAGAAAGAAGATCTATCTCTCAAATACAATTCTTTTCATTGGTTCATTCATTCATTCACTCATTCATTTCTGTTTTTTTTTTTTTTTTTTTTTTGGTCTTTTTCATTTTTATCGGTACCAGGGATCGAACTCACGACTGCCTGCTTGCAAGGCAGGCGCTTATGCCGCTGAGCTAAATCCCCAGCCCCTCACTCATTCATTTCTGCACCATTAACACAACAGGGTGATTGAAACATTAGTTTTTTAAACTTTTTTTCACTCCATAGCCATAATAAAGGTACATATGCTAAACATCAGAACCTAAAACTCTCTTTGAAGTCCGTTACTTGGTAAATGTACTAAAAGAGAAGCACGGGCCGAGAACATACACAAGGAGTAGAAATAAGCACAGGCGACGTCGGTCATTTTCATTTTGAGACACTACCACGGCGGCACATCATACAGTTCAGGATGTTTATGCCTGTTTGATTGTTTGGTTCTGTGTGGGAAGAAGTTTTCTAGGGCTTGGCTACTGATTTAAAGTTTCTTTATTTTATTGTCTTAGGTTTTTTATTTTCCCTAACAACACTATCTCCTGGTTAAAATAAAAATTCTAAAATCCTATCCAAATTCTTAGACAAAATAATTAAGTCCTAGCATCAAAGACGCTACCAACATGTTGGGCTACTTATGACTAACTAGATCACAGTCAGAAGCACCAGCAACTGCTCTGCCCTGACCGGAGAACTCAAGTACTTCTGAATAGGAGACTTTCGAGGTTTCAGGAATGAACAACAATACCACACAGACTCCCCAGAGTCCTGTACCTCTTCTTTGACAGTGCCAAACTCAGGATCCAGAGCTTTGAAGTGATACCGGTGATTCCCTTCCCGGTCAATAGCTGCTTTAAAATCCTTCAACGTTACCTCCCCCAACCTGTCACAAAAATAGAGAACCAAAATAGATTATCAATCAATAAGTTGGAAAGATAAGGTGTTCGCTTTAAACTCGGGCCCCTGCCAGAGTCGACAGGCAGATACAGCATGACCTTATTAGGTCACTGATCCTGATAATGAAGATAAAACTAAGATTGCAAAGCCTGGAAAACCAGACACCACTAGGAAGTGAAAACGGCACTGCACATTGAGTGACCTCAGATTTTTCTTTTTTTTTTTTTTTTGAGACAGCATCTGGCCTTGTAGTTCAGCCTGGCCTTAAACTCAATATGTAGCCTAAGTTGGCCTCAAATTTGCTGTGATCCTCCTGTCTCAGGCTCCAGAGTGCTTGCAAGCACTCTCCAGAGTGCTTGCATCACCACACCCAGTAAAAACCATTTCCGTTAGAAGGAATTAGGCAGTCATCAAATACTAACAAAGATCAGTGAGTAAAATCCTGGGAGTTCAAACTGCAATTCACGGCCTTCAGCAGAAGCTATTTCGAACACTTAAAAACTATTTTTCCAACCTTGGAGCATGTCTGCATAGTTACCGGGATGGGAAGTGCTCCTGCTGCATCCACACTTAGCTGTTTCTGTGCTTAGATCGTTAACAAGGCCACTGGTTAGTACAAAGCTGGGGCTGGAATCTCTGCCTCCTGGGCTTTTCTAACTACACATATTGCTTTTTAAATATTCTCCAACTCCTCATTGGAGCAGGCACTACTGGTCTGCCTTCCTTCCCTTATTCAAAAAAAAAAAGATCCCAGCATCTCACCTCTTTGGTATGTTGACCATGAAGGGCGTCAGTGACCGGTCAGTGAAATACAGCACTTTTGTGCAGGAGCTGCTGACAGCTGGAGAACTCTGTGAGTGAGGCAATTCTGAAATCAGAGAGTCTTTATGGTTAGAACACTGGATTTACATCACACCACTCCTCATTTCCCATTATTCAAAAATGTCTCAGGAGAACAGAGCTCCTGTGGTCATAGCAGCAAGCACCACGTCCATAGGGCATTGTCCACAGAAGTCACCACTAAGACCAGACGCACAGAGCTGCTCTGGGCATGGACGTTATCAGAAGGACCACGACTTCTCACTCCTTCCAATTGTGTCAGGGACAGCAACTGATCTTACCGGTACTGTTGTTAAGGATCAAAAGAGGACAGACAAAGCCTGGCACGATGTCAGCTGGGACACAGTCGACACACAGCAGGACCTGTGTTTCTGCCTGCATTTAGATTTTGGAGGTTGGTGGTAGGGGTTACTCACGTGATTCACGAAAAACCAACAGGCACGCAAAGCACAGGGCAAGGGAACTTTAGAAATTCACATCCCAAGGGACCGACCTTTCTAGTCTAAAAAACACAAGATCTACCTTAACTCTTAGTGCACAGGATCTGTGTTTTGGCCCCGTAGTGTTCCTAATTTATCTCAGATTTCTAATTTGTCTCTGTCCTTTAAAAAGGTACTTTAGTAAAAGTGTAATTAATTGAGTACTTATAATTAAGAGACTACAAAAGACCAAACAAACTTTATAATAGGACCAAAAAAATAATAATTAAACTTTTATTAAACTCTCTTCTGAAATTTCATTACATATATTTTATTCTTAACTTGTAGGTTCAAATTTCTCACCAAACGGGCAGGCAGAGGACACCACTTCTGGGAGAAGATTTAAAATAAGGAAGATTATGAGGGACAGACCGGGGAGAAGGACAAACAAATCTCCCCTTTGCAGAGCCATCACATTCAAAGATGCCAATTACCATGACACGCATGCTACGTTTTCCTTTGCCCTTGCATCTATCATAGTGCCCAGCATTCAGTGGTTGTTGAATAAATAAAATACTCACTTTTTGCATGAAATCATACAACCAATTCATTCAATAAATAGTAACTGAGCATCTTCCACCTGCTGCTAGATTCTGAGAATATAAAAACAACTCTATGTGGTCCCTGATTGCTAAGAGTTTATAATCCCATAAGGAAAGTAGGCACTATTTCAAGTTACAATACACTAAAATCAAATTCGTATACTTAATGGGAAGATTGAAGATGGAGAGGTTAATTCCAACTGGAAAAGATCAAAAAAGAAAAAAATTCTTTTAGAATGCACCTTTGAAAATCTTAACACTGAGCTGGGAATGTAGTGGGATAGAGCGCTGGTCTAGCATGTGCAAGCCCTGGTTTGATCCCCAGCACCACACACACACACACACACACACACACACACACGCACGCAAGCACACCATGAGTGAAAAGCTGCAAAGGGCGCTCCAGGAAAAGAAAAGAACATGAACAAAAAGCATAAAATGGGATAATGTACTCAGGAAACCATAAGTAAACCAGTAAGGCTGGAGCATAAGGAATACACCAGGCAGTGATGGGTAACACAGTAGGCAGGAGGGCCAGACCACAGAGAACTCTGGTCAACAGGCTGAGCCTTGAAGGTATTAGTCTTTTTTTTTTTTAATCGGTATCAGGGATCAAACTCACGACTGCCTACTTGCAAGGCAGGCGCTTATGCCGCTGAGCTAAATCCCCAGCCCCTGAAGGTATTAGTCTAGAGCTAGGGGGAGAGACTATGATCAGATTTGCATTTCGTTTTGTTTTGTGGCACTCGAGATCGAACCCTTGAACCTAGGAAACACTAAGCTGCATCTTCAGTCCTTTTTAGTTTTCAAAATTTTGAGCCAGGCTAGCCTCTGACTCGACTCCTCCTGCCCTAGCCCCCTGCGTAGCTGGGATTACAGGCAAGTGCAACCATGCCCAAACACACTGGCTTTTTAGAAAGGTTAAGGCAGCAGCAAAGTTTGGACTGGATGTTAGAAACTCTAGAAGCCAGCAGTCCAATTAAGAGGCAATGAAAACAAACCAGAGCACTGGATCTGAAAAATCTTTAGAATAAAAGCCTTGAGACTAGAGATACAGCTGGACACAGAGGATAAACAGGAAAAGTAAAATATAATGACATTTATAGTTTAAAAAGACAGATACATGGTAACATTATCTAAGACAAGGAAACAGAAGTAAACTGTGCCATCTATTTATTCATTTAAAGTATTTGAATGAAAAATGAAAGCAAGGCATGGTGGAATACACCCGTGATTCCAGTACTCTTGGAGGGGCTGAGGCAGGAGAATCTCAAGTTCCAGCCTAGCCTGGGCAACCGGGCAGCTTAGTGACTTGACCAGAACATGCACAAACTAAAGGCTGTGGTGGGGTGGTTGGAAATATAACACAGGTTCAATCCCAGTACTGCACAAAAAATATAAGTCAAAGACAACGTTTACTGGGTACCTATTATATGTCACGTATTATAAATACACAGATAAATTAAATAAAATCCTGGCCTTGAGCAGTTCAAAGTCTAGTGAAGCTAGAAAAACTTACCGTACAATGAAACACACAGGACAGTAACGTTACTGCCGCCTGAACTGTGCCCTCCCATCACCTGATTATATTAGAGAAGAAGGTGATTAAGGTAAGTGAGATTGTAGGGCAGAGCCCTGATCAAAACTGCTTCCCTCCTAAGAAGACACACCAGGCATGGCAGAGTGCGCCCAGATCCCAGCATCCTGGGAGAGGCTGAGGTGGAGGGTGCAAAGGTCCAGGCCAGGTTAGACAATTTAGCAACTTGGTTGGTCTATTTCAAAATAAAAAATAAAAACAGGAATGAGGATGTAGACTAGTGCAACAGCCTGAGTTCAGACCCCAGTATGAGAGAAAGAGGGAGGGGGAGAGATCGAGAGACACAGAGAGACACACACACAGAGAGAGAGAGATGATTTCAGTCATGCACAGTGCTGCTCAGGAAGCTGAGGCAGGAGGACCACAAGTTTGAGCCCAATCTGGGAAACTTAGTGAGGTCCTGTCTCCCTAAAAATAACAACAATAACGATAACGATAATAATAGTAATAAAAAGGGCTGAGGATGTAGCTTAGCGTCAAACCCTGGGTACAACCCCCAGTATTGAAAAGAAAGACAGCAAAGAAAGAAAGACAAGATAAAACAGACAGACTCCAGAGTCATCTCCCTCCCTCAGAGGAGAGCTCGCAGAGAAGGCAGACTTCTGCAAACCAGGACAAGGTGGCTCGCCAGAACTAACTATGCTGACACACGAGTCTCAGTCTCAGACATCCAGCCTCCAGGACTGCGAGAAAATAAATTTGTTGTCAAGGCCAGACTTTTGTCTTTTGTCACCGCACCCTACACGGACCAATCCAAGTCATACACAAAGTTAAGAATGTCAGAGAAGTCACAACGCAAAACTAAACAGAAGTCTGGAGGAAAAAGGTGGTTAGGTAAACAGGTCATCATTAACACTAGTAAAAGCAGTTTCAGATGGCTTCTGACAAGGACATTTCACTTTAGAGTACAGATTTATGATCTACGTATTTAGAGCTATTTTGTGTATGGTAGGAGTCTTTGTTAATGGGTTTTAATTATTCAAATACCATTTTTGAAAAGCCTGTCTCAAATGTATGAATTTTTTTTCTGAGACAGAGTTTTGCTTTGTGTTGCAGGCTGGCCTGGAACTCACTGTGTAGACCAAGCTCTTCTCCCACTCGCGGTGATCCTTCTGCCTCAGCCTCTGGAGTGCTGGGATTACAGGGTGAGTGGCCGAACCTCGCTGTGAGTCTTTAATCCCTTTGCTACAACTACATTGTCTTAAGATTAATTTATTAGTCTTAAAGTGAAGACAGTGTGCTCCATCAACTACATGGTCCCTCTTTTTCAACATTTTTGTGTGGGGGGGATTAATTTTAGTCCCTTTAGTGCTCTGATAAATTTTAGAATCACTTTATTTGTATCTACAAAAAGTCCACTAGATTTTCATCAGAATTATATGGAAGCTATGGATCATTTAGGAAAGAATAGTTTAATATTATTGAGTATGCTAATTCATCGGCGTATTTTTTTTTCTATTTTTGTCTTTTTGAGACAGGGTCTCACTATTCAGTTCAGGCTGAGCTTGAGCTCACTTTGCAGCCCAGGCTAGTCTCAAGGACACGCAGCCTTCCTGCCTCGGCCTCCCGAGTGCTAGGATTACAGGTGTGCACCACCACACCAGCCTCCATAAACATACCTAACCATTAATTTATACTGTACTTCATCTAATGTTTTTACAGTTCACAGCATACCACTGCTGCATATATTTTATATAGTTTATACTTATTTTATGGTTTTTGGTACCAGCATAAATGGTTCCTTTTTAACTTTTCTATTTCTAGATATTTATTGCTAGTATATAGAAGTACAATTGACTATATGATGACCTTGTGATCTGCAAATATTCTAAACTCACTAATTGGCTATAGGGTTCACTGTAGGTTCAGCAGGATTGTCTACATAATCCGATCATCTCTAACTAGAGATAGTTTTGTGCCTTCTTTTCCAATCTGGTTTGTTGTTGTTTTGTTTTGGGGGGTTGTTTTGTTTCTCTGCATCTGTGATCACTAGAGTTAGTGATTTTGGTATCAGTAATGAAATGTGTTGGGAAGTGATCCATCATCTCTTCTGTTTTATGGGAGAATCTGTGTAGAAGTGGTATTTTTTCTTTAAATATTATTTCTTCTAGTCTGATCTGGTCATGATGGAGAGTTTCAAACTACAACATCCTAAAATCCGGATGGAAGATTTTTTATTTTTTTTGTCTTTTTCCTTTTTATCAGTACCGGGGATCGAACTCACGACTGCCTGCTTGCAAGGCAGGCGCTTATGCCGCTGAGCTAAATCCCCAGCCCCGGATAGAAGATTTTTAAACTAAAAATTCGATTTCCTTAATAATTATAAAATTCTTCAGTTTGTTTCCTCTTGAGTAAGTTTTCAAAGTTTTTATCTTTCAAGAAATTTATTCATTTCATCAAAGTTGTCAAA